AATTATAGCCACGTAACTTGTTTTTATTTGCCACTGAAATTGTTTGTTTCATGAATATTATAGTGTGCAATGGGTGCTGCTAAATTGCTCAGCACTGCAGGTGCACACATTTATGAATATCCTGGACATAGTGTTTCATTTGTCATGTCAGAAAGAGGCTTTGCTAAAAACTACGTTGTTATTGAACCTTGATTTAACACACAGTTGACAAAGCATTTGAAAATATGCCACTTCGTTTTAAAGTTAAATTATCGCCAAAAATCAAAGCCATATGGATATGCACAACTAACAGTCTTATTCACCTAAATATGTAAAAAGGACAAAAGCTATATTCACTAAACTGAATAAAGCATAATTTACACAACTTAACCATAGGGTAGCTTAAGAAAGGAAAAATATATATTAATTTAATTCTCTGAGAAATTGAATCACATTTTCAGAAAAACACAGTATATAATTTATACAAGAGGATAGCAGCACGCCACAGATATTATTTTTGATAAGCAATGTACTGTTGACATGACATCTGTACAACAATAGACATTTATTAAATATTATCTGTTGATAAAGGATGTATTATATAATGTATTTTTTTCTGAGCGTATCTACGTGACTTTACCGAAAGACCCAAAGAATATGAATTCCTGCAGTCACGAAAGCTTTAAGTCAAGATGTCAAGATTTAAGCTGTTGCATGTTCTTAAAATTAGACTCTAGCCTCATACACATTGCTGTGTTCATGGCCATTGGCAATTAATCTTATCAATGTAGTTTTTGAGCACATACTCACCAAATAACTACAGAGCAAAAAAACCTCCTGATTGTATTCCTTCGCTCCCATCCGAGCCCATGCATCAACAATATAGGATTTTGCATATATATGAAAAACAAAGCACGGTGCATTTTGTCGTGCCACTTAATACCGAACAGCCATCTAACATGCCATTTGGTTTCCATTGCCTTTTCCATGTTGTGTTCGAATAGAATAGGCTAAAACATATAATTTAAGTGGTGGCTCTAATATCTTCTTTTCAATTGAAAAGCATCATGCATGTCAGGGAGATGAGCAGCGAGGTAAGACGAGGTGTATGGAGACAAGAGACGCTACCTAGGACATGACTGCACTAAAACAAAACCAGTGAACATTACGAATTCCAGCAGACGTTCTCAGTGAACACACAAATTAGGCACTGCCTCAATTGCCTGACCCAATTATCCCCGCTATCAATATCGTTATTGTGAACCTGTTACGTAAATAGCAATACATTATTTAAAAAAATAATCCAATAATTTGACTCATCCCAAAGTCCGCCCTGTACTGCTTTTATTAAGAATGTGATCGATGAATTATGTGACTCCTGCAAATTAACACCACAGAGGAATAATCAACTAGGTTGCATATATGTGCCTTGCATCAGATACATTACACCTGCTAGTGTGTGTAATATCATTTGTTATATATTCAATATCCTGGGTTCCCTTTACAACCTACAGCAAATATCCCCACTCAAACAGTGAATAGCACAATCCCAACGACATAAAGAGGCGTATGGGAGGGTACTACTATGCTATAGTGTTTTGCAGAGGATATTGAGAGAATATCTTAATTTTATGAAAAAGCTTTACCAAGTAAATGGGTTTCCTTTAATTTCTCCACGTCAAAATATGTTTTAGTCAATTATCCCAATGGGCATTTTTGGTTTACGTTATCTAGCAAGTAAATTCAGGACCAGTTTGGACCCTGAGGGTCTCATAAGCAGAGTTGGGTTTAGTAAATACTGTTTGGGTTGTCAAATGTTATTGGAAAAGCACTCGATTTGCAAGATGGGTCCCTGTTGTTTACAAAAACGAGGGCGATTAGAGGTAACTATAATAGGATGAATTACACGTCAAACACAGCTCTGCTCCAATTATAAATAAAATAAATAACCATCCTTCCTACATATAAAAATGATGTTTCTCTCAAATAAATTAATGTAATTAATCTATTGTTTTTAAATAATATCTGCGGCTATTATAACTAGAAGATGCATTAAATGCACAGGCATACGCGATGTTTATATGACAATAATTAAAATAGCACGGCTACCTATCTCTCCTAGGAAATGCGATGATTTCTTACACAACGGTTTGTGGATCAATGAACGCTGGGCAGAGCTCACACGCTCAATGCCGCACAATGAGCCGCACTTGATGGGAGGTTTTCAGCACCACAAAAGTGGACAGCTCCACTCTATTCAAAATCAGCTACGCTTCCGCTTTACTTGGCGTTATAACATTAATTCCAACATTGTGCGATTCGTGCAGATCCAACATGCCAACAAGCACTGACATAAAAAAAAATAAACACTCAACACCTTGGCCAATAGCACTGCCCTAAAAGGAAAACAATACTGTAATAGGCGACGTTTCAGGCAACGGCCCTTCATCGTGGCAGATAACAGATATAACAAGCACTGGCTTGCTGCGTAGAACAAAGTGCTTTCCAAAAAAACGATCACGTTGTGTGTGTGTATATACTATATCTAGGCTGCATTGTGGCCAAGGACGCCCTCATGTCTCGCTGTGTGTGTGTGTGGATTTTTCGACGAGATGGTTCCGTTAATAAGCGGGTGGGAGTGATTGAGAGGAGAGAATAGCCTCGTGTCACGTCCACACGTCCACTTTGGTTTCATTTGGAATCACCGCTGACTGGCTGATGTCGACGTTTTTTCTTCATCTTCTTCTATTTCACTGCGGCACTGGCTATACGCATGCTTATATTTGCTCTACACCGATTTGAACCCAGGATCAAAGGGTACCTGTATATGTATTCATACGATCATGTGTGCATCATAATAGTGTGCCATCAGCCATGTTCAATCCACTGCTTGATGCAGGCATATGCGCGTTAGTACTCGGGACCAATGCCAAATCCACACGCCATATCAAATCTAAACCACACGCGCGATTCCATTACGCAGACAGGCATGATTGCATTTTATACACACAGGCATGTGCATATATGCCGTGATTATCAAGTACCAAACGCATATAAGCCACCATTTCATTGATTGGTGTATACACCTAGCATGTGAACATCCCGCCCGAGAAAGTGCCGTTTAATCGTTACGGTTCCATTCATGAAAGTAATATTTGTGCCTTGTTTGTACAGTAATGTATTGTCTATTCTATCTATAATTTACTGTCTAGTCTTTGCCATCCATCTGTACTGACCATACTTCATAATGTGTACTGTCTCCTATATAGTATGAGAACTCCGTATACCGTCTACTGTATATATTTGTACGATCTGTACGGTCTCAACTGTGCTCTCTGCAGTGTGTGCCATCTGTACTGACTACACTCTTGGTTTGTGTTCTTTTACACGTACTGTCTTGTTTGTACGATCCGTGCTTCCTGTACCCTCTAACTAGTGTAGACTATCGATGTTCTCTCTACTTTGCAGTCTCGTTTGTATTGTTTCGTCACCACTGTTTGGTTTGTTCCTTTTGTCTCCCCCCCCCCCCCCGTACGCACATGAACATAAAAGGGTAATTAACGTAACATTTACATAACTTCATACCAATCTATTTCTACACGCACTATCGGATTCAAGTATCGCGGCCCGAACAATATATTAGGATCGATTGTTACACGCCTAAAATATTAAGTCATAATACAAACACACACAGGACTGCCCCGTACATTCGCACACGAATACAAACATCTATTTTCTATGCAACAGTATGATTTATGTCTGCGTACGATTTGTTATACATGAAATATTAAAATTAACGAAGGAGTTGTGGTCCCATTGCATTTGCATGAATAGTAAACATACACACACATATTATAGAGTACACACCTAATGTTAGCCTATGAGCAAATCACCCCAAATGCGCCCTGATCTTATTACAACTTGGAAGCTAAGCCTGGTTAGTCCTCGGGATGGACGACCACCAAGCATAAAACCGGTTTTGTAGGTAATGTAGACTACTGAAGGGCTACATTGTCAGCAGACGGCAGTGGAGCAACATCTACTGTTGTGCTGTACTGTTCTCCAAAGTCTATGCTACTCATCTTCACCTACCCGTACCTGACCAGCGTGAAGTGTGGTCGAATAAGGCTGTGGAGGACCTCATCCAGCAGTGGATTGTCAGAGTGCTGTACATGTCCACACATGTAGTGTTGTGTTCAGCTTGTCTCTACACCTGCCCGCATGAAAATATGCCTTGCAACATTTCTCAACAAATTAGTTTAAACCATTCGCAAAAAACATAATTAGTTTTTTTTGCGATACATACTGTACAGCATTTAAAATTTAAAATCAGGTCTCCATTTAACACCCACGTGGTCTCAATGGGCTCTTCTTATTACTTAGTCATGAAGGTCAAATATAAAAAATGTGGTGAGAATACTGCGTGTAAAATATGCTTGTATAGTTGCAGTACCTACGACGAAATCATCAGATCTCAAACTAAGCGGAGCATTGTAGGACTCGAGCTGCAAGATAGCCAGGAGATGCCGGTACTGCCATGGATTCTTGGATCCATCTGTGCTGAGTTTTTGGCATTACACACTTACTTGTATTGTGCATCGTGGGTTCTCCCACGATGCACAAATATTTATCAATGGAGCTGCTCACCATTCATGCTAATGCAGTTCCGTGTTGAATAATGTCCACACATGTTCCAAGATAAATAAATAAAGCCTCCCACCACGCCGTGTCGATCACGTGGAATAGGGGCTGTGGTGGAGGATTCGCCATACTTCACCACGCTAGTCAATGCGGGTTGGGGACGGGGCAGGCGTGCGGATGGATGAGGGTGGGGGTGGGGGGCAGAACCGGTTCAGACTATCACTCTCGCCACTGATGTTCGCCGCGACTAGGGATCGAACTCACTCGGGTGGCCGCGGGGGTTCATAGCGCAGTGCGCTAACCACTGCGCCACCACTCCACCAGTTATTCCTGTATACGAAACACACCGTCCACATCACCACCACCACCACCACCGTTACCTATTACAGAGCCGGCCAGGATCACGACCTGCACCCCCGTAGCGAAGTCTCGGTAGTGCTGCAACTGCCAGTCCAGCATGGCCAAGGTGCCCCCCGGATCGGTCGTATTGTCCGGTGGCAACCCTCTTCCAGCGGCCAGCGAGGCCGGAGTTGGGCCACCACCACCACCTCCTCCGACTACCATTCCTCCTCCTCCTGCACCGCCACGTCCTCCGCCACCGCCGTTGTCCGGGTCACCCTGGGTCCCCGAGCTTCTGGCTTCAGACACGGAGAGGATGGGCAGCTGCCCGTCCGTAGCTAACGCGTACGGCACGTCCATTGCGACACCGTTGCTCGAGGAGACGTGTCTGTGTGTGTGTGGAGATATATGTGCGTATGAATATATATATCTAGAGAGAGACAGCCTATGTGTGCGTGCGTGAAAGTGGCAGAGATGGAGTCAGATGGGGACCTCTGTATTTAGAGAGATGAAGAGACGGAGACCCTATGCTAATTCCCCATCAACACTCACTCTCGCTCGCTCGCTCGCTCCTCTCTCTCTCTCTCTCCCTGCATCCTCACACACACACATATACCTCAGTGCTACCCTCTCCTCGCCCCAACCATCCTCCCTCGTCCCTCCTCCTCCGACAATTCAACGTGATGCCTGCACCACGGCATTCGAATGCGCATGTTGCCTAGAAACCCCCTGCTGGCGACTCCGCGACAGAGAGAGAGAGAGGGAGAGGCCCCTTGTAAAATACGGAACGTTTTCACGTTACCATTCACAATGTACGTACGAGATGCGCTATAAATGAAAACTAGCAGCTTACAATGATGACCTCTGTTGGATTTCTATCGGTATTAGCGTCACACTCTTATGATATTTTCTCCATGAATTGAGTGTGTATAAAATATTGTCATATCTGGTTTTCACAACAATGAAACCCCTCATTTGCATCAATCCAAGACAACAACAACGGCAAGAAAGTAATTGCCTCACAATATTTGTGACCCAAAGTTGACAATTTTCCTTAAACGTGTATCACCCATCATAAGCTCCAAACACTAGTTTTCATAGCTATAGCTTGAAAAATAGTATATGTTGGAGTGGGGGGGAGGCAATGTTAGATTGCATAATCTGGTGTCACATTTGGATTAATCTCATGGAAAACCTCCAGCCTCAAAGTACCAATTTCAATTGAGCTATGTTCAAGAGCAAACATCTTCACAAGTGTTGCCAATCCCCCTCCCCCCTCAATTTTATTTTTGGGATCCAAAATAAATAAGTACAATATTTGTATTTATTTGTGCTAAATGTATGTGAGCTTCATGCCCTTTCGATAACAGTTTACGAGTCAGTCATTCACAATATGTACCATGTATTAGATATGTATGTTGTATGTCAGCTGACAATGATGAGTGTGGTGAGATTTGTTTTTATTTGCGCTTATATAAACATTTCCACGTTTTAATATGTTGAGGTTGTCTGTCACATCGTAGATATAAGCAGGGCTGCTCTTGTACAGCTTAAGAAAGCAAGCTTATCAGTCGTGTGTAATTGTATATCTAAGAGAGCAGAGAATGCCCTCTTAGATATACAACAGCGTGCCCCACTTGGTAAGAATGCATTACATGTTGAATTGAATACGGTGATGATATCATTACCGAACAGTACAATCACGATTTAAAGCGACATGGTAGCAGATCAGCGCTTATTACAAAAACACATCGTTTTTTTTCATTTTATAAAAGATGTCTGCATAATGTAGAGTGAGTGTAAGCTTAGCACGATGCAAGTGGGATGGAGGCACAATGTACGTTCTATGTTGAACTTCTTTCGCACCATACGCAGCCAACCATGCTAATCGGTGGTACGGGGGAAGGACAGCAAACTAAACACAAAACGCAGTTCGAAAGAAATTCGTTTTCAATCGGGATTGGAAGATCTTGACAGAACATTTCAATTTTAATGATGTTCAATGTGTTGATGTGAACTTCAGAAATTACAAAGTAAAGAACCCAGCATTTTGATAAAGTTTGGGATCTTTTTTTTCCCCAATAAAGCACTGGTATCAGACAATTTGATGGATGATGAGCTGATAATCAGACTCACGATTTGGCCATATACACTACAAATCCCTTAATCTTTCAGCTGACAGCACACAAATGGCTGTACATTATACAGGATCATCCCTGCCACTAATGTACAGCGCTTTATCAATTTACTGCTGGATGAAGACCACTCCGCACATTTCAGTCATGGAGGGCTGTTTGATTTGACTTAACCACACTTGTCAATGTCGGTTGGTTAAGGGGGTGCCGATCATCTTTTCAGCTATTGCTCACCACTGGTGTCAGCTGTGGCTGGGAATACAATTCATGTCGCCGGATTCATAGTACAATTGCATTATATGATAAAAACAAAATACGATACAACTATTTTGAGATCTATTTTTGACAATCTTATTGTGGTTGTGGACATAACAGATGGCTCTTCACAATGGCAGACGCAATTTTCAGCCTGCATTCCTTTACCATTGTCAACGGTTTCCCTGAAATTATAATTGAGGTGAAGAGTATTTTGCCTATATGCAGATACGTGTGAATTCATGTGTTTACCCCTGACAGATCGTGCACATCAAGTGGCAATTGCGAACCGATTATAGCAACAAAACTCACGTTCAGTGATGAACAGCTTAGAGCTCACTGGCTTAATATGGGCCCTTGACCGAAAGTGAATATCTATGGTGAATATTTCGAAAAAGAAAAGTCATTGATCTATCTTGATTTGAAGCTTTCGTGACTGCAGGAATCCATACTCTTTGGTTCTTTCGGTAAAGTCACGTAGGTAAAAATAAAATAAAACAAATCACGACGTTTCGATTGCGACACAAGCAATCATCATCAGGTGGGAAAACCACAGCAAGACATTTTTTTACATTGATCTATGTTTTAAGGAACAGTCACCACCGTAAAATTTAGGATTGATATAAGGATGTTGTGTAAACGATTATTTGAGGTTGTAATGTAACTTCTTAAAATGTCTCAATTGTGATAGACAGTGTATCTGTACGGAATTTAAAAACAAACTCTAAATGGATGATGCTGTATTTCACAAGAGCTGTTTAAAAGAAAAACCCCCGCATTCTTTATTTATTGAAAATACTTCGTGAACAGAATAATGATGTATACATGGACAAAAGACGCCAATAACAAAAAAAACCTTAAAAGCTCCTTTATTCAAGTGTTTACTACAGGAAAACAAATTGTTCAATGTTCGCATGAGTTGTGTTGTGATTTACAATGTCACAATCAAATATGCTTCCACTGGGGGCCAATGCATTTCAAACTGCGCCGTTTTCATGGCAACAGCCTGCAGCGTGGGGCAGAGATGCTCTTACTTGCAACGTCGATGTGACCATGTGTCTCCGTGCATGCACGTTTATCCATGCCCCATACTCGTCTTCACCATGGGAAATCACCAAACCCATCACCTTCCGGCAGGAGGACAGAGTGACCAAGCATCTAAGGATCCAAAAATGACTTCAATCGAAACAGTAATAATATTTCGATGTAAAGCTTTCGTGACTGCAGGAATTCATCTTCTTGGTTCTTTCGGTAAAGTCACGTAGAAGGGAAATAATAAAATAATAAAAATAAAACATACCGAAAGAACCAAGAAGAGAAATAATATTATAATTGCCTTTGCCCAGGAAAGCCTCACTGAGTCTCAACACGCTTTGCCTGCAGTGTCCTGTATTTGTAAGATAGGCTCAATCTATTCATGAGTGTCCAGCATGTGCTCCTTTGGGCTAAAGTTTTTTTTATGGTCCAGAGGGTATCCCAGTCAGTGCATGAGTTGATGTCACCTAAAACAGGAGCAAAGGCGGAAGTTGATAATCAAAAGAAAAAAAGTATTTGGGAGGAAATTAGATTAATTAGAGAAAACTCACTCGGCATACGAGGGGGTAATGCTCACAGCTATGCACAGATGGATTCAAGAATCAACTCATGTGCAGTTATCGCTTGGCCACCTCTAAGGCCAAGCCTACAACACTTGGTTTTACCGAGGCAAACTCTCAACCAAATAGTACCTGGGATCATCTTTGCTCATCTTCATAGATATGACAAATATGGGTATATTCATGGTGAATGATTGTAGGCATGTAAAAAGAGATGCTTATACAAATATTAAACGATATCCTATTTTACAAGAACTCGCTCAAACGTATGAACTATTTTAAAACCAATTTAAGAATTCGCAGTGACATAGGGGCACTAGCTATGAATACGATTAGTGTTGGGGGTAATTAAAAATGGAAAATTTGGCACAAATGCTTGAAAATGTTACAAGCCACGGGGCAATTGTGGCCATGCAACCCAAACGATGGATTATTATAGTCAACCATTGAAGTCTGTGCTTCTTTAACGGAGGAGGAATAGCAACACAACACAAACTCTCTCCTGTATCCCTCTCGTGGCTCAACGTTGGCATTTACCTCCTGAACATATTGCCACCCGCAAGAATAGAACTGTCCACTTTATAGCAGATGGCAAGACATTGGGAATTCCCTACACAAACCACCACCAGGTGGTCACAGGAATAACCCTGGTGGCTCTATACAAACTGCCCCCAGTGGCAAGTGTGCTGACCACGAGGCTCAGCAATCGCCTTCGAAATGTTCTAACCCAAAATGTTTTGTTGTGCCGAGGATAATTGCATGCCTTTTATGACACTCACAATGGCCCAGTTTATATATACACACACGTGTGTGTGTACACCCGCACAGACCAATTTTAATAAGTGGTGTCTTTTAGAGCGTACTCATAAAAACAACCCATGAACTTATATCCAGCTGTCAACACCCACAAAAGCACTCACACCTGCTAAAACGAGGCGTTTTCCAACCGATGCCACTGCCCCTATAGTACATGGTGATTCATTTATAAATGCCCCACTAAAACATTGGGGAGAAACTATAGAGGATCCAACATTTATTTCAAAGCTTCTCGGCATATCTCCCACCAATCTCATTACGCTAACACTCTCCTCTGTAAGATACGGAGCCATCACTTTAACAACACTATATTCAATAGCCGGTTAAGCATAAAGCAAGAGGGTAATTATTAAGCAGTGGTGGATCTATAGATGTATTCAGTTAAAACGAAATACTAATTTCAATGAAATGCTGTTTTTTTGTCCATTAAAATGTTGGAGATATTCTGAAATGATGTTTTAAATCAGGAAACCTTGTTCCAAAACCCAATTATCACAACTTGTTGAACATGCTGAAAAAAAAACACAGACAAATCTGGTGAAGAGAAACAGAAGCAAACAGGCAACAGCAATTTCCATGGAAATAGCACCGAGTCTCTGGAATTTAAGACAAATGCTTAGTCTAAATCTGAAGTGTCTCGCTCCGCACGAGCCATTAAATGTCCCTCCAAACAAACACCAAGGGACATTAAAAGGACTGCCTGGTGCAGTGGTAGATCGGGATGTTAAAACATCACAGGGAGTTAGAAATAGCTGTTTCCCCCATTCTATTGTCACTTTTTGATGCATTCATGCATTCGAAATGAATTATTATGGAGGCATTATCAAACAAAAATACATCTGAATATTTATATGGGTATAAAAAAATGTATGCCCTGGAATTAGTTGCAAGACTAAAGCCCTGATGTGACAGTCGTGTGCTCAATTAGTAACTGAACTACTATTTTTATTTTACCAGGTTTAAGCCCACTGAACGATATAGCTCTTTTTTCAGAAGCAACTCAGCCACGAAGTGGTTTATCATGTGGAAATGTATCGCAGCCAAATACTCTAAACGCATGTTTCGAAATGTGTGTGTGGGGGGGGGGGGGGGGGGTAAACCAGAGGACCCGAAGAAAAATCCACACGACCACGTGGAGAACATGCAAACTCCAAACATACAGACGTCAGGGTCGGGATAGAACCCACAACCATTCTGTATAGCAGGCGAGGTAGCTAACATCTCGCCACCGTGGCGCCCAAGTAAGCATTTGCCGAACATTTACTGTGGCTATTTACCCACGTGAGAATCTTGAGAGGTTTTATGCCAAAACATCTTGAGACAATTTTGATTTAAAGCTTTCGTGACTGCAGTAATTCATATTCTTAGCTCTTTCGGTAAAGTCACGTTGAAGGGAAACAATTATTGTTGTGGTTGTTGTTGTGGTTGTTGTTGTGGTGGTTGTTATTGTTGTAGTTCTTGTTGTTGTGGTTGTTGTTGTGGTTGTGATGGTTGTTGTTGTGGTGGTTGTAGTGGTTGTTGTAGTTGTAGTGGTTGTAGTGGTTGTTGTAGTTGTAGTGGTTGTTGTAGTGGTGGTTGTGGTTATTGTTTTATATATATTTTAATATATTGTTGTTTCCCTTCAACGTGACTTTACCGAAAGAGCTAAGAATATATCTTAAGACAATGTTTAGGTTGTTTGTAATGGTGACAACGATGATATACAACTTTGAACCAGGGTATAGCTTTTGAGCTCCACTCTCTTTAAACATTTAGAATTAAATGAACGATGGGTAATAGTTAATGACTACAAAAATAGCAATCCACCATGGTTACAAAATGCAGTTAAAACGCCTCAAATGTGGAAATTTTACTTTTGATCGTATTTGAAAATCGATGCGATACTTGTATTTTTGAAGATGAGACGGTTGCCAGTAAGCGGAGATACACTGTGACTTCCAACTTGCATGGCGTAACGAGATCCAATGGAAATTATTCATTTAATTCGGATTACCATTTCAAAATTAACGCTATACCAGTAGGTGGATATGAGTTGTAATCACACACACAATGACAAATTAATGCATAGACTAAGTAACATTTTGGATTCTTAGAGTAGAATGTTTATACCCAAGGCTCAAAAAACAGCACCAACAATGGCATTCGTGGTAAACCACCTACTTTCATTACATTAACATCTCGCAAAATATAACTGTAAATGAAATGCGAGCTTGACTTCCTATTTATATACCACACATTTCGTTCAAGCAGACTTAGCTTATAACATGTGTATAACTTTGCAAGGTCAAATCACAAAATTCCCAAAATGGAAACAATTACTGAAGCTCCTGTTGTACCGTGTCCTTGGGAGCATCACAAGTGGTGCAATTTAATGTGCCGCCGTGTGAACAAAATCGTTTTCACATTAAACCTCTAACGCAGTAACGCATTGCTTTATGAAGTGATTGATCACAAAAAAATGTATGTTCGATCGTCCCCATTCTTTCCTCAATGTATTCTATTATTTTACATATTTGTGGCAATGGTTGGAAATGTTGTGCTGTTCTGTGCTCAAGGCACATAAATAGAAGGAATATTCTCGAATCTAACTAGATTTTGATATGGCATTTAGTTGCATTGGGTAAATAACACTTATATCGAGATGAAAATAGAGCCTTATCATATTTGAAACTATTAATTAACTCTTTAAGAAGATGTGCCTAAAACATTCACATGTTGTGGGGCAAAACTTGAGCTTTCCTTTTCATTTTCACACCATCTGCTTATCAATATCCTTGAGAAAATTGCAGGGATGTGAAGTGTCCTCCAATGGATGCGGAGTGTGTCATTTGCACCTGTTACTAGTTACTAGTGAATACGCACTTATTAAGTCCAGGGACGATCCAGTTAAAACGTTTGCAAAGACTTTTACAGGCCAAGAAGACAATTTAAATAAGTGCTTTTTTGTAAATTAATGTAAATCAAGGACCACAATAATTATTAATTTGGAGCAACCAATGCAAACTTCATGAATCTTAAATAACACAGGAAATATAAAAAATAAAAGTATGGTAGTAAGTAGAGGTGTGATTTCCGTATCTTTAACACTGATGGACATTGCATAATGTATCCTCGTGTTATGAAAATGTTCTACATTATAACCTATTCTTTTCTCCATCAATTAGATAAACGTTTAGGGAACACACCAACACACAAATTTTGAAAGAACACAATGGTCAGTCTGCTGTGATTTATTTTATTAATACATTTGCAAAATTGTAAGCAGTTAAATGTACACCTCCATGCAGCAGGGCATTGACAGATATCTGTACATATATATTGCTTGTGAAAATGTACATGAATAACATTATTTCAGCAAAATTAAACATGCTGTAAAATGATCATCTGCATTTCTTTATAAAGTGCATAATTGCATTAAAAAATTGCATTATTAAAAATTCACAATTTTTAAAAAGAACAATTACTCAGTAGCAGAGCAATCAATTGTGATGGTGAATCTTGGTTGGTTTTTTTATCTCTGCAAGTTCAAACCCATGCTGCAACGCCGTGATTTTCTTTGATGAGCCACATACTGTCAATCACCTTGCCACTCTATAAACAAGAACAATGGCGAACAATTAATTAAAAGCCTCTTTGCCATCATCATGAAAAATGTCATTCTAATGTAATCACGTGGCCAGACCGTGCAGCACAGGAACTAAATGAAAATCATTGCACTGCAATCAATAATATAATTGCCTCTCCACTAGTTGCTTAAAAATGCTTCTGATACTATGTGCATGGAGTATCATGCGTCGCTGCAGAGAATGTAACATAAATAAGCAGATATAATTCCTTCTTCATGGGATCTCCTTTTCCATTATCAAAACATAAGAATAGGTTTAACCCTTTCTGGCAATAATACAGGTGTTAAGATGTTAAAACACCAAACTGAAACCTTTTTCAAGGAATCATGTGAACATGTAAACAAATAAAACATACTCTGATATTATATGCATTGTCTTTGAAACTGATTGGTCCACACCAGAGACAGCTTTCTTTAGACCCTCGTCTCAAACAGTGTCAGACCAGAGGATGCCGAAAGGCGAACAGCACAAAGACAACGCCACTATCACGACATTGAGAGCTCGGGGCGAGCAGCTACATCATGGGACCTCCCTTGCCATTATCAAAATATGAGAATAGGTCTGCATGTTCACCACAAGTATATGTGCTTAATGCAGACAGGATTACTTGCAAAAGGTTTCAGTTTGGTGCTTTAACATCTTAACACAACTTATTTAATTCCCTCTCCCCAGATGCATCTCTCTGCATAAAAACGAACTTATGTTTCCACATCCAATTGGCTGAACTGCCTTCTGGGAGTGCATATCTCAGCGGCAAGACCTTTTTTCTGAAAATAAGATTTGAAAAACTTAAGATTTGCTTCATGTAGACAGACAAATATGGGAAGAAGGCATTATGCCATCTTATTTATTTTGTTACTGACAATCTCCATAACAATGCTTAATTATTATTTATAATATAGTTTTGACTTAACTCGGGATCCATTTCTAACAGAAAGGATCATGGCCTTTAAACACCGGGCAGTTCACCATCATTGGTTGTATGTTTAATGTTGAAGTTCTTTTGCACCGTAGGTAGCCAAGTGTGCTAGTTGGAGGTGCAGTTGAAGCAAGCCTGGCTGCTGATGAGACATTCAATGCTGAAACTAGTCCAGAGTTTGTTCGTATCAAACCAATGCTGATGAAAAGATGGAAACCATATTTTTCCTTTAATGTAGGAGCTAAATATGGGAGAGAGGCATTTTGTCTCCAATTGTTTATTTAAATAATACAATCATTTGGAAATGTGTTAACTGTAGCTATTGAAGGATGGTTAAATTAATGAGATGAATAATAATTTAAACCTTTGTCGATCGACTGTAGGATGAAGGCTTTCCAATACCATGTCGATCATGGAGGGTATTTCACCATACTTTACCACACTGGGAAATGCAGGTTAGTGAGGAGGGGGCCCATTGCTGGTACAGATATTAATTGCGAATGATCTTGGCCATGCATAAGAATAAAATTAAGGTTGGAGGGTTCATAGCACACATAATTAGAACTATTCCCTCCACCTTGGATTTGTTAGTCATTGATACATTTACAAAGAGTGAAATATGCCATGAAGAGGTGCATATTTCATGTCATCTGCTCAGTTTTTTGTGAATACACTACATCACTATAGCTTTCTCATGAAAGGATGTATTAAAGACTGTTCCAATGTATGCAAATGGTTCAATAATGTCAGATGGGCAATTTATACATTTCAACATTTGTTAAAAACATTTTTCGTTATGCGGCACCCTGCACACATTTTGTAATGGTCAATTATTAGTACTGTTTGTCCGACCTATAATTACAATGTGCAAACCAATCAAAGCTTGCAGATTGCAAAAGATGCACAAATGTTGTTGCACTGCTTATCTTGTACTTTGGCAAAAGCTTTTAGGATAATTACGGCATTTGAAAAAAATAATATTGCCCCCTCTTTCAGGCCATGCTTTCACGCTCCTAATTATTAAGCTTTTCAACTAAATAATGATTTCTGTTACGGCATTTCATGCTGAACGTGAGATTCCTACCTGGTCATCGGAGACCTGCTCCAGGTATACATGGCTGCCATTCTGGATCTTCAAACGTGTGTATCCGTAATCAGAGCTCCTGAAAGCACTCCAGTCTCTAGCATGAGGAACGAATGGATCAACCCTCTCTCTGCATCCCTGTTGAGTGCACACAAATCAACAGGAGTCAAGGCATCCTTTTACCCGTTTATATCGATGTTTAAAATTAAAGCATGTCGTGGTATAATTACACACTATCCAATTTGTACAGATTGAAATTAACACCAACCCTCTGTCATGTACCCTTGATAAACATTTTCCCTATCATTTAATCCCATGCTGCTGGTACCAGTACATTGCTGATTAAAAAAAATGAATCTATCCAAACCAGGCGACAGCAATTTGATATAAAGGATAACAAGTGTTGATGAATGATATAATCTATACAATGCCTATGATGCAATTACCTGGAATGCACCCAATCTCATCAGAGTTTGACAGCTAAGCAAGATTCATCCTAGATAGTACAATTCTTGGATGGGTAACCGCCATGTAAGCCATGTTGTTATATGATCCTTATGGCGGCACCCCGGGGTACCAAATAATACAAAATGGCCGAGGCAATTAAATATGTATTTCTGGGACACTTTGTTTCCAGGGGTGTTACTTCACTCCGCGACTGGGTTACCAATCAATCCGAAATCAGTGCCACACTCCGCGATGTCGAAACGCAGCGAGGATGATTGTGCTGAAACCCTGAACGCTCGTGTGCACCATTGTGCACTGTGTACAGCTCGTCGAGATGAGCCAATTGCCGCATCGCCGACCATCAACAGACGAAAAATTACTGCATCACGGACATTATGCGAGAGCCGGGATACTATGGTACCCCGGGGTACCGCCATAAGGTCCATATGTCACAGTGAGATTTTACAACGTGGTGGTAAGCAGATGGCAGTGCAGCAAAATCCATTGTTGAACTGTACTTCTATTCCCCCACATTTATGCTTCTATTCCCCTGCACTCATCCAAATTTACCCGCCTATTAAAGTTAATGTTAAAATTACCCTCGTGACCTGGATTTATAAAAGCGCTGTAACACCTGCAGGTGCAATAATAAACAATGCAACTCTTTAAAGGCAGTATTAATAAATGAGCAAATCGCTGAAGAGCTACGTACCGCAGAGCCTGTGATGATGTGTACAGGCCCTTTGGGGTTCACATACGGAAATTCTCTGCTGCCGTTGAGAACCTTGGCAAACAATTAAGAAATGTGTAGTTAAACATTGGCACATTTTCATTTCCAATTTTGCACTTTGTTAATAATTCCCCCGAGTTGCAAACAGCTCGGTAATCACATTTTTCAACATACCTTATGTACATTACATTACACACATTGTTTTTCTGGAAAAATAGCAAAACTTAATTGAAGGTGGGGGGGTCTCCTCTCCAGGACACTGACCATTTGCATAATGACAAAAAAACATCAGTTACAGGGTTCAATGAAGGTGTCCTAATTAAAGTCATTCATTAAACACAGTTGCACTCCAAGGGCTTTGATGTGCCGGGTTAATAGGCAACTTGAGATGCAATCACTGGATATCACCCACGTTACAATCATCAGGTGAGACAGACCCCATAAGTCTTCAAAGGATGGTTTTCACCAGCTGCCTGGTAATGTTACTGTCAATCACGAAAAAGTGGTTTCTGCTCTAAGCTCTAGAAATGTGTTAACAAAGTAAAATACATTGCTACATAACTGTCCTAGTAATATCAGTCAACAAACTTTAATCAGAGCTCCGTGGAATGACAATTTTGATGAAAATTATATTTATTGTAATATTCGAAGGATTTAGACGTTTACAGTAATAACTTGTGTTGAATTTCACCGCCGGGGATTGATGCTGGTTTTATATTTGCAATTGAAATAAACTCCAATATAGAAACGAAAGTTTTTTCCTCTTACCTTGTAGTCATAGATTGGCCACAGCCTCTCATAAGAATGCTCATGAGCCCAAAACTCAATATCGACACCTTCATGTGCAGACAATAGGAGCAACAAGTAAACAGACGCATTAGTCAACAGCCGCCCTTCCAAAACAGACCATCTAGAAATATACACCATTTGTGTCTAATAATTACTCAAACAGTGAGGCTGCATCTCCAGCTAAAAAAAAACAATCAACAGGCAAAGTGAATATTAACCAAAGTGACCAAGACATAACTAGATTTCCTGGGACTCATTTAAAAAAAAATTCCAATTATTAATACGCTGCCTATGACCGAATCACCAAGAATGAACTTGATCTTGCCAGATCTCAGAAGCAAAGCAAGGTTGAGCATGGATCGTCTCCATGGATGATCAATGCGCACAAGCAGGTTGACATCGGGCTGCAGGGTTGCGTGGTGAGCAGCAGAGGGCAGTGCAGCATAACGAATTGTACTGCACAGGCATACCTCTTATAGCGCTGCCTCTTATAACGCCGTTTCCTTATAACGCTCTTTGTCCTGGAGGAAAATTCCTGTCTGGATTAGCCCTTATATGAAAGGAAAGCAGGCATGGCATTACCCGTAAGGGCGTGTCTTTGCCTATATATGGTCTTGTGGAACATGAATCGAGGTGTCTATTTGATCGATTCTGCTCAAAATCGAACCAACAACTACATTAGAGTATCGATTCATTGGGGGTTAATCACTGCATCGATTCATTGGCAAGCGATCCATGGATCGAGTAATCTCATTGGTTCGTATCGCTTCCTGCGGAACGTGTGTTTACGGCAGACGGTAATTAATCTTATGGCAAACCCTGACCAAATGACCTGGTGAGTACATAACTTTGTATTTTTTGTCATCATTAATAGTAATGTTATTTATAAAATGCTTTAATACATTTCGAATGTGTACAGTATCATTATTAAGGCTATTACCGCTGTCAGTAACGCTTCTCCATTGGAATCATGTTATAATGACTTCCTATAGCGCTGTTTCGTAGAGTGCTCCGTTTATCAAGAACGCATCCTGAGCGCTATAAGAGGTATGCCTGTATTTAAAACATGCACATTTATGCTACCCACCTTCACCACCCCACACTGAACCACGTGGTGAAATAGGGTCATACATCGCCCATAACCCGCATGGTGTTGGGGAGGCCCTCATACAACAGTGGATGGAAACAAGGACTGTACCATGTATCATAATGAGTTACAAATTGTATTTCCAAGTGACATCCATAAATGAAACAAACACTTATATCGCAAGTCAGTCATTTATTGTGTGTTTTTGTCTTACCATATATGAAGAAAAGTTTCTCCAAGCCAGGCATCACTCCTGAGCTCGAGTTGAATCCCGTTCGGACCTATGAATTTAATACCAGACCATATGATTGTGTTTTATCGATGTCTGTCTTTTAACAGGAAAAAATATGAATATTTCACACAAAAGGATATTCTTTTTAAAAAAATTTTTACGACAACAGACTTTTCGAAATATTATATTCAATTCTCACCCGGCTGTTGAATGACTTGCAGTCATCGGTATCATTGTTGGAGCAGTACATGGGCCGATGTCCAATTGTGATAATCCAAGGAGTCTGTTTTTTGTTCTCTGGCAAGCTGGCCTCCTGGTTATTAAAACACATTGAAGATTATTCAAGACCCATAGCTATATGTGTGCACAATTGCTACATTTCTATCTGGTGGGAGATTCACTGAAATACACAACCTATGCATCAATAAACTCTTGTTTTAATCAGAAGACTGTTTTTGAGTGGCCGGAGGCCTTCCCATAGCAATGTCATTAAATTTATATTTAATTTTTTTATTGGGTGCAATTGTGAACAACAGACATAACAGACATTAGTACATCTAATCGGTATGATAATTGGTTCACTGCAGCTCAAAGTCTCGTGATGAAGTTAGGAGATGTCCATGTGCTCAGCATTTGAAGGCCCCAAGACCAGAATCGGTGATTTTGCCGACAAAGGCAGTTCCTTATCTGGACAGCAGTGAAGTAAGCTTCTGTCCAGGGAGCATGTTCTGGAAACTGGGGGGGGGTAAAGGTGTGGCTTGGATCTGACTGTGTACATAGAAAACATTTCCTACATCCAGCTTGCTCACATGGTTGCTTAGACTCTAAAATGAAAATGTTTGTTCCCTATGATCAGTTACAAATAAATGCGAGTGTAATGGTAGGCGAATGGCTCTGTAATTATTCGTATGAGTATGAACTCCATTTTAGAAAGCACGATAGACGCATCATTCCATTTAATTTGTGAAAACGAGTACACAGGTTCCATCATTTAGCTTCATAGCTAGTCCTGACTCTTTAATGACTATATAATTTTTAAAATCACATACCACAGGTGAAAAACCACTTCCCACGTGAAGATGATGATAATGTTCTAGATGTCACACCTGCAAAAGGAACCGTGGCTCTACACAGTATGAAAATAAGGGAAAGCTCCCAGGTCATATGGAATAAGCCACTCTTTTTATTTACAGTTCTATAAAATGTGCACAATGTTCCCATAACCTATATCGTTTTTTTTCCCAACAACCTATAGTTTCTGTCACAAATCAACACAGATTTTGATTTAAAGCTTTCGTGACTGCAGGGATTCATATTCTTGGTTCTTTCGGTAAAGTCACGTAGAAGGAAAACAATAAAATAATAAAAATATAAAACAATAAAATTCTCACGACGTTTTGACTGCAACACAAGCAATCATCATCACCTGATGATTGCCTGATGATGATTGCTGATGATTGCTTGTGTTGCAGTCATCACCTGATGATGATTGCGTGTGTTGCAGTCGAAACGTCGTGAGAATTGTATTGTTTTATATTTTTCTTATTTTATTGTTTCCCTTCTACGTGACTTTACCGAAAGAACCAAGAATATAAATCAACACAGCTTGGAATCAAGAGATAAACAGGAAAAGAACAGCCACTTCCAGGTGTTTTGTTTGAAATGTGAAGCGTTAACCAAATAAATCTGGATGAAAGAGCAATTGACATTGAGCATTTTGGCCACAGCAGGCAAGTGCACCATGGAAAACACTTGCCGAGGCACTTAACAATGCGAAATATTAAAGGTTATTGAATGAATGGCACTTTAATTTAATGACTGCTCTCTCGTTCATCGATCAGAGCTAGATATTGATTTAAAAGGAACGTTGCACAGTCAAAACATACAAATACAATTGCTTAATTGAACCTTTGATCCCTCAGTTAATATCCCACATCCTAACAAAACAATTTTGAAATGCTAAAATGTAATAGGGAGTGTTAATTGGTGCATATCTTCGACATCATAACCAATTAGCTTAATTAACATCACCGTAATGCAAGCTTCCCCTGAGTCACATCAACACTGTACAAATCCAATCGAGTCTACGACTGCGTAAAAAAATACCTTTGCAACAAAAAAATGCCACCGAATATGCATGACAAAAAACCAAGTCAAGGTGATCCTATTATTTCAAAAATGAAGCGATAGTAGGGCATAATCAAGTTCAAAGCTATGTAATTACCTCTAGATCCTTCTTGAGCCACTCGTATTGCTTAAGCAGAAGGTCCAGGCCATAGTCTGTATAATAATACACCTCTGTGCTGATGGAGATGATGTGTGCAGGACCAATGTTCCAGCTGTCCAAAAGAATGGAGTAATACATTATTGCTGGTTTAAGACATGGCTGAACACGTATTGCTCAAAGTGTTAAATACTTTTTCACAACCTTGTTAAAACATAAATGTGTTATTGAATCATGTTGTCAACACCTTACTCGAAATTATATGTTACGGTAACTATGTCTCAAACGATGTTTTTCAAGATTAAACCCTTATGAAATGTATGAAAGAAGTGGTAGTGAGCATGGCACAATTGTAGTGACAGTCATTAGTAATCTAAGATGGTGAATTCTTTCATCATGTATCTTCTCATGCGCATTTGAATACCATTGTAGTTCATCACCAATGTGATGTCATGAACTATAGAACTATAGAAAATCAAGGAAATTATTGAACTTAACAAGGATGAAAGAAGGGTTAAAGGCACATGTTATGTAAAAGTCACTGAACAAAAATAAAAGTGCTGGAGGGATTTAACAGAAAATACAGGGTATGTATATCTGGGTAACTACCAAAGGTGGAATTGGTTCAGAATGGTGACGTAAAAAGGTGAGTATTAAATAGGATTGAGTGCTTAAAAAAAACATTAATCATAAAAAGCAATATTTAAATGTACCCAAAAAAGATATATTTAAATAAGTGAACGTGACTATGAAATACGCATCAGAAACCCAGAAATGCTGTGTTCATCATGCCGCACGCTGATTGATGTGGCAATGCCATTCAATTACAAGTGGTATCTACATTATTATCATTTGTGGCTGAAACTTGCAGAATTGCTTTCACAATTTTACAGAATTGCTCTTTTATTTTCCACTCTTTTATTTTTATACAAACAATTGTTGCCTATTATTTAAATGGTACAAAAAAAATCACAAAACCATTCCAATATATTTTACATAAATAGAACGTACACGAATTAGTGTCTGGGCTTACTGTTTGGGCACATATGGGAGGGGGATTGTCTGTATCTCGACTAAGGTCGAATTAAAATTATGGAAAAGTCAACCTTTGTTAACTGCAATCAATCTCAAGTCACTGAAATAGGTGTCCTGTCCAACAAATCATATGCCCTTGTGATGACTAGCATTTTCAGATTATTTTGCGACAAAGGGAAATGTCTATGACTGCAATTTCTCACCTGTACCAGAGGCCTTCTGTGTTTCCAGGCATGGAAAACCGATTTCTGTAATTTGAAAAATTGCTGTAAGGCAATAGGAAACAGTTTAAAAGTCAGAAATTTAATGATAACAAAAAAGTTATTAACAATACAGGATCTTTAACATGAAAAGACAGCCAAGTCTCCAGGTAAAATAATTACAAATGTATTATGTGACATATGTTTATACAAATGTATCATGGTTATAAACATTGTTCACAGTTCTAACAATGACTTGAGTACGCCTAGTCATGTGAGGACACAATAAACTATTGGTTTTAGATGTGATAGTAACATCCCATAAAAGGCATTACACTATGTATTGTTTTATATGAACATGCGAATTAAAAAAATAGCACTAAGTTCATTATTTAATTCTGAACGGATCAAAACGGCAAGCTGCTGGTGTGAATGCGTTTCCGTCAGGTAAAATAAGTTATTGAATTTTCAAGCATGCATTTAAAGCAGCGTACCATACAACCTTGCTATCACGTTCCTGTTTCTCAGTTATATCTGCACTTATCAATTCAGGTAGGTATCACATCCACATTGATATAATGTAACATTTTCCTGCAACAATCATCCCCATGTTTTTCACAAGTATTGTTAAGAATTCTCTAGTCAAACCATTTTGAATACTTTTCTACCTTTTTCTTATGTTGGGGAATTTCAAAAACCATGATGCATGCTCTTATGTGGCATGTGCTCCGCATTAGTTAAGGTCATATTGAAACATTGCTGCTCTCAATGTATCTCTGTGCAGTGCACCCACTGATTTTGGGCCAATACTCCATGTATTTCCATGATGTGTCCCCTGCTTCTCTCAATCAAAACATCTACAGTGTGAAGTCTCCACTTCTCTCGTTTCACACATCCCCACACTCCGCATGTCTTTACTTCTGTCCATATGGCCCGGCACTAAATAATAATGTGGCTGCTACGCCGTGGTCGTTATAATGCATCATTAGTGACCGTCGAGCCAAGTGGAGTGGGTGATGTGTGGAGAACCAGCATAGGCGCGGAGTGATTGAAGCAGAGACAGAGATTTATGGAGAAAACCAGAGAGAGAAAGTATAGAGCTGGATGGATGGAGCATTGAGAGACAAGACACATAAGTGGCAGAAGCTGAAAGTGCATGGCAGAGATATGGACTAAGAACGAATATTGAAAGAGAGTTATACAGGATTAGAAAGGTAGTGGAAGCAAGAAAGGGAAGCAGATAAAGAACACAGCATCAAATGTGCACTTTTTATGGAAGAAACTAGCATTCCACAATTCAATGTTTTTTTTATGGCCCCCTGGAAATCAAGTGAGGTTTCACTGTAGTACTATGAGATTTAATTACAGGATTAGAGGTGTGCATCATGGCCCGGTCACTTAGGTGGGAACCTAGTTCACCGACCACAATGCAATTACTCATTTTGTCTGCATCACAACAATACTCAGGGCTCCGTGAGAAACAATGTGCATTAATAATGTTACATGCTGCAAAAGACCAGATTGGTTAACCTTACTATGCATTCTCGTGATTTCCAGGACATGTCATGTAGGGTACATAGGCCGCGATGGATTCAATCTGTCTCATAAATTCATCTCCAATCCTGGCATTGTCCTGAAATAAGATACAAATGAATCCAGTCAACAGGACAATAATAGCTGTGGATGTTGAGATTTCCAAGATAAATAAACAAATACATGGGCAAAAAAGAAAGTTTAAGCATGGTCAATCATACATATCTCCCTACCTCATCCATATCGTAAGCAAAATCACCTAAAAAGCACAAAGAAAAAACAAAAAATAACAATTACATGTTTACAATAAAAAATTACTTTCATAAAACAGGCAAGATAAAGAATGCCAATGTCGCAGTGTCTTGTAAATGGCACTTCAGGTATCCCTTAGAAACGTTCGTTTTATAAAATTTTGCGTTTCAGCACTTGACAAATTAAGGACACTTTTTCTATTAACGAAATCGAATTTATGCGTGAACGAAATTTCACATGGCACGCGCCATGAGGTCAAACATTAAGGACCCGGGAGGCTTTGTCATCCATCTGCGTCAGCATCACGGTATCCCTACAGTGCAACAATAATGGCTCCACATCACCTTTCCAATCATTCCAAAATGCAGATCTTTTGGTGAGTTCCCTGGAAAGGTTAATAATTTTAGTTTTAAATTGATTATGATTCAATCAATGTCATATTTGTTGTTTATTATTAGTTTTGCATTGTGAAAAGTGACAAGAGTTAGCGTGACTTTCTGAAACACATCCCTAATTTTTAGTATTAAATTAGTGGAAAATACCATTCCGATTTATGACATTTAGTTTTACTCATCTTTTTTGGAGAATGCAATATGGACCTCTCTTCAGTATATGAATACAATACAGCAAAATAAATTGTTACGTATCTTTATCATATATTCAGAAAGGTAACCAACATTACATTCAGATAAGCATTTTCCAGAATATACTGATTTATTGAAGATTTTACTATTTGAAAAGTATTATATTTATGCACATTTTTATTGACAAAACCTACTCTGTGTCTTACAGCAGAATATTCCAATTTATTTTGGATAAACTACAAGGATGACATTGTAAAGATATTCCACATTGAAAATATTTTATTAACACAGAAATTACAGTACTATATTTAACTATTTATAAGTAAGACAAAATGTTACAAAGACCATACATTGACTTTCCCCTTTATTTAAGCTGCCAATTTGAGCCCCAAAAAACCCATGCATATTAAAGTGTAAATAATTGAAGAATAAGACACGTGAAGAAATGAGTGGCTGCATGCATTAATAAAAAGCATATAAAGTAAATAAATAATTAACCACTTTTTACAACTCAGTAACTCCTTACCGACGTGCAGTATGGCGTCATACATGCCCATCTGAGTCTCCTTCTGCAGGCGAGCTAGGGATTGTGGGTTCTCGTTACCCATGTCTCCAAAGACAGCAAGTTGGGGACTCCAGTCAGACCCCTCCCGCATGGCCGAAAAAAAGAACATGTCACTCCAGCCATCTGTGCTCCCACAGTGGTAGACTGTCACACACAAAACACAAAACCATTGCTATCAGTATGTATGTTGAACTTCTTTCGCACCGTACGTAGCCAACCGTGCTAATCGGAGGTGTGGGGGAAGGTAGGTGCTGAGCATAGGAATTCATATTGATCCGTGATTTAGACAGCATTAGAAAGGTAGGGGAAATGTACATTTTGAATATTTAACATGTTGAGTTATGTGGTGAACAAACCATATTGTGCTCCAGGATCCAGCTCTTTGATGAGGACCCGGTGGATGTACATGAAACGCTTCTCAACTCCCCCATCTGTAAAAATAGTGCTGCTTCCAATGGCCTTCAACCCAAAGAGCTTGGATCCAAAGCGCGAATACTCAATGATCGAGTCCGTTTTATTGGTCGTCACCCATGTCACCATGATGGAACGTGGGTTCCCTGTGAAGAAAATAACAGCCTTATTTTTTTAATATACCTTAAGATGTGTAATATAATTTGACCTTAAATGGTGGCAAATGAAATATAAAATTAAATATTTACAACTATATGTAACATAAGACATGCATTTTACTCATTGTGTATATTCACTATGGTTTCATAATGGTGTTACACATAATTGTTGGCTACATACGGTGCTAAAGAAGTTCAATATACATATTCTACTGTACTTATATTTTTGTTGCAAACTGACACTTACCTGTAAATAATCTGGCCTTAAAAACTGTGTGACAATTGTGTCTGCTTTACCTCCAAGTGGTTCTATAGCTTGCAAGAACATTAACCGAGCCGTGTTTTCTGTCGCGTACCAGTAAAAGACAAGTGCATTTGTTCTGGCTGGAATCCGATAGGATGGCCCCCTTTGCTGATCACAGCCAGCATCATCAGCAGCGCACTGCACGTCCACATTGTTCCAGCCATTTTCTTTCTCTCACCAGTTCCTCGTTGTGCCAGAAACTGACTTTAAATGTGCTAGATCTTAAGGAGGGATTGACATTTGGATAAAAAGAGGGGCACATAAACATGTAATGAACGTTAGTGTTGAGAGTGGCTTATACAAAAGAATGACTGATGAAGTGCGGAGTCTTCAATTGTTTAACAGCATCATGTTTGCAACTGGTATAACAATCCAAACATGTGACTTAACACTTGCATACAATGCATATTAACAATTCACCTCATCATGTGATGTGCCTCTCCACTGGCAATATCATATTTCACTTTCCCTTCTCAATTGTAGAGGGTAAATTATATCCAAGATTTTTTTTACGATTCAGTTAGATAATTATAATTCAGATAAATTCCACTGGAAAACCTAGATGGCAGGAAAGTGAGTAAAATAATTAGTCGGGATGTAAAATCCTGATCAGGGTTAACTGATCATAAAAATTCCTGCTTTTTATTTGATGAAATGACTTATCACTTTGACAGGTCAAATAGTTGGTGCGTTAAAAGTACAAAGGGACCGTCATTAAAAAAAACATTGCCTTTCCATTGGAAATATCAAATTAAGATGTTCCTATCCAATTGTAAGGGGTCAATTATTTCTTCACAATTAAATGCTCTATTCTGTAATATAATTGTAATGCACTAGCATTACAAGGTCGGTATAACCTAAATGGCGGGAAAGTGAGTAAATGATTGCAAAGTCGAGAAGTGAAATGCCGGTAAAGGGTAAGTGATCAGCGAATTCCTGTTCTTTGTTTTGGAAAATGACAGCACCACTTGACAGGTCACATGGCTGGTGCAGTAAAGGTACACGGGGTCCTATCATGAAAACATTGGACGTCTCGTGATCCTGTAGTAATCATCTCCGTCACATCGCCGGAGTGGAGGGAATCGCAAAGTGTCACTTGGTGCAGTCACAGCTGTTGGCCCATCGCCACAGGAACGTGCAATGGTTCCGGATAAATAAAAAATTAGCAACAGAGATTGTTGTGTGCTCCGACTCAGAATGTGAAATATAACGTCACTCTAACAGCACAGAAAAGCGTTTTTTTGTGTGTGTGTGAACGACTGATTTCGAGCCAAAGAAACGTGGAACTTCAATCAGGTGCTCTGGTAAGAAAAAATAGATTTTCGTGATACTGGTTTCTTCATTAACTTTTCACCTGACACCACTTGCTGTGTTTAAGAACACGACTGACTGACTCATCGTAATACAATAATGTGGTTATCTCTCCCGACATATTCTGGATAAAAAAATATATAACACCATCCAGCTCAACAGAGACACAATGGCAACTTAATACATACGTTACAATTACCGATACTATCATGCGATACATTCAAGACAGAAGCAACCTTACAAAATATAGTAGATCCGATCCGATGCCGTGCGACTCGAGCTATCCAGACGCGGGTCGGAAGGTTAATTAGGGGAAAATACTGATAGGTCAAGACCAAGGGCACCGCCACAACGCTCTTGCGATGCCGGTGCAACGAGACGTTCACTTGGGAGCTGATGGTGCCGTAAACAGAGCGCGATATTCACGCGCTTTGGACGTAAACTCACGTCTATTTTCCCTCCCCAATGAATCAAGCTTCAAAACTAGGGTGTCAGAAAAAGCCCGATACACACAATCTACACGCGCAACTATAACGGACTTGTGTGAGCTAGAGTCTAGCGGCTGTAAGACCAACAAAACTCAAATGTTGTCGATTTGCTCTCCAACACACCGGTGTGCTGTTGTACTAGTAATGAATTGGCATGTGATGTGTACGTGACAAACCTTACTAACTGGCTGTGTCGGGTGGTGGTGGGTTTAACGACACATTTTTATTTACACGATCTAACCCCAAAACTCTCTAATATAGATGAAAAAAACAAGCGAACAAACAAGACAGAAACATCACGGCCGAGGCTTTGCTATGAGAGCCACCGAGCGGCTACAAGACATCGCTTCACTTTTCAAGGGAGCGCATGACTGTCAACCCTCTATCAGTGCCTACCTTATTACAGACAAATTGAGACCTTATTGGTCACCCCGTGCCCTTATAAATCTCAACGTTCATCCTACCAAGTCCCATCACAAGGGAGAAACAAAAACAAATAGACAATCACCAGTACTGCACTCACCGCTACACTCCTGTCAATCCCTTATCAGTGCCTAGCTTATTACAGAACAACTCAGACCTTATTGGTCACCACGTGCCCTTATAAATCTCAACGTTCATCCTCCAAAGTCCCAACACAAGCGAGAAACACAAACAAATACGACCGTGCGCCGCGTGGACCTGAAAACCCAACTTCCTCGTACGAGAATGCGGAGTAAACCGTATGGATTGACAGGTATGAGAGCGAGTGAAAACTCTTGTTTCAGTTTCGTTTAAAAAAAAGAGTCCACCTCGTTACGCTTTAACCGGCTAAATCCGTGTGGGTCCCAGCCGGAACGTTGCGTAGACGTTACCGCGGTGCAGACGAGGATCGAGCGACAAACCCCCAACCCGGGAAGGCCACCGCTCAGGAAGTCACGTGGACGTTTGTTTACGTACGGAAGCCCGTGCCGCCAAGACAGAACGCGTTTGTAAAATACCGAGCACGGCAGCATTGGCAAATGTTGACACATATATCTGGTGACACAATTGAGGTTGCTACATTTTAGTGATACAATTAGGTTTTTTTTTACATTCGGATGACCAGGAGTTGTAATACGAAACTTACTCCCAATTAATTTAAGCCCCATAAACTGGATACATGACATGTCAGGGCACTGATATTTGTAACGTTTGTGCGGCTCTGTGACCATCATTAACATGCTAATCTCTCGCATTAACATGCTAATCTTTCGCATCAACATGCTAATCTCTCGCATTAACATGCTAATCTCTCGCATTAACATGCTAATCTCTCGCATTAACATGCGGATCTCTCGCATTAACATGCTGATCTCTCGCATTAACATGCTAATCCTCGCATTAACATGCTAATCCTCGCATTAACATGCTAATCTCCCACATTAACATGCTAATCTCTCACATGAACATGCTAATCTCTCACATTAACACGCTAATCCTCGCATTAACATGCTGATCTCTCGCATTAACATGCTAATCCTCGCATTAACATGCTGATCTCTCGCATTAACATGCTAATCCTCGCATTAACATGCTAATCTCTCACATGAACACGCTAATCTCTCACATTAACATGCCAATCTCACATGAACACGCTAATATCTCACATTAACATAGCCACCTCAGCGCGCTCGCCGTGGAGGCCGCTCACCGATCTGACAATATGCTAATTTTCACCTGGCAGCCCTTTGATTGGAGGAAAACCAACCACCGTCGTGGTTGCTGTCCACCACCTACATTAACATTGGCTGCTGACATTGGGGCTACGCCCATTTCAAACCTTTATAAACAGTTTGCCTTGAGAAGCTAACCCCCCTTTTCCTGATGACGACCGCTTGTGTTGTGATCGAAATGTCATAGTTTTTTTAGTTATTTTCTTTGAACCTATCTACATGATTTTACCGAAAGACCGAAAGAATAAAAATACAAAACGTCAGCACAATTATAATTTTATCTGCAATAAAAAAAATTCACCCGATATTTACTGCAGGGAATGTGAAATAGTATAGTCAATAACATACTTTATTATTAAGCAAATACATATCAATGCACTTATAATCCTTTAAAATACTCTTTTAAGTTCAAATGGGCTCATATCTGGCTTGTAAGGAAATTAACTTATATTTGATGCAAAGTCGGGTCTTGAATATTTAGAATACTGTACCTATACACTTAAATGTGAAGTATGCAGTGAAAGTATATAATAAACACAATAAAGCATCACATTATGGTTGAAATGTCTTTATTGCCTCAATTCCAAAAATCGAATATAACAATATATTAATTAGGCATTTTTTAAAAAGCTCATAGTAACCTTAATACCAAGTGACAGCGGTGTTTTCAACACAACGAAAACAATAAATGTTCATAAGTGGCTACTAACTGGTGCAAGAGGCAGAGCAGTGACCGAGGTGCACATCTGTTGTCTGTGTGAGCAGTTGCAGAGTTGTCTGCAATTCACGCCGACGCCTTCACTTGTTGTGAGGAAAGGCAATCCACACGAGGCTTCCGACAACCCCCATTGAACCTTAAAACACAAGGGCATCAGAATGTACACCACTTTATCAATAGCTATGTTGGTCAGCATTGAACCGTGATAATCAGACATTAAGTAGAGGAGTGTATTCTTTGGGTCTTTCGGTAAAGTCACGTAGATAGGTACACATTAATACAATAGATATAAAATAAACATCGCTTGGTGTTGTGATCAAAACGTCGTAGTTTTTTGTTGATTTTAAAGCTTTAAGTCAAGATATGAAGTAGCGGGGTAAAAACAATGTTCACTTCTTAGCAGCAGAGTGGAACTCCCCTTATATAGGGGATGGATGTGGATATGGGGCCCATCCTATTATGCACGTTTTTTTCTGCGAATTATACTCTGATCTGTGCGAAGACGTGCGGTTATAAAAGCAGATAACAAATATAACCAATTTCAGGTTATTCCTGTTATCAGCACATGAGTGTGGATAGCAGGATGAATAACGCAATTCGAAAATGATGCCTCCAGGTCAATTCCGGTCTGGCATGGGTAAAAGGACGAATGTGCCACAACTTATGGTTGCTTTTCCTATCTGTGCAAAGGCATGTATAATAATAATTTTAAAAATGTTCAGATAATAATGTCTGCTGTCTGATTCAAGGACAACAGATAAGAGGGGGTTTTCACTGTTATACATTGGATGATGTAATTTGGTAAAATTAATTTTCTCTCATGAGAAGTTAGTATACATATTTTTAGGTGCTACATTGCAACATATTGATGGTGACTGATTGTAACTACAGTATTGGCAAATTATTTTCTTACCGAAGATGGTTATGCCCATGGTTAACATGTAGAGCAGACGGTCTCCACTTCCTCCCTTCAGGTGCACTGGGTGGTCATTCGCCTGTTGAAAATTACAAGCACACAACCTCAAATACACAACGGAATATTTACAGGCCTAAAGAGAAAGAATGGTTGTGCACGGAGATAATGGCATGCCCAGATTACAATTTATTTGGGGAAACTACGGCACAAGCCTCAATTTTAATGGTGCGTTACTTGCAATTGATCGTAATGTGTTCGGCTGCTCCAAGAATAGTTGGTGGGTGGCGAGGAGAATTGAACATGTCATTGCATGCAGTTGTATCACACATTGCACTGTTCATATTTCAGTGTATATGGACCTGATATAACTTTTGCTTCTCAAGAACTCGGTTGACGTTGCTTCGAGTACTGGTGGAAAACACTCGTCTTCCACACTGCTTTAGTATCTGCAAAGAGAGTGCACAAGTACACACGTATCATACCAAACTGTTAATCATCTAAAGCATCAGCAGCAGCAGCAGCCATGGTAAATCCGCTGCTGGATGACCACCTTACCAAGCGGGTAGGCCAAAGCAAGGGGCATTTAGGTCACGAACCGTCAGATGATTTTAAACGAGCGAATCCAGCTGAACACTCGATGTGGTGGCAGGACAAGAGGAGGAGGAAGAAGATGATGGTCCTGAGATAATTCCACACTTGCACATGAGCTCATTTCGTCGCTCCATCTCAGCAGTGGGTAATCCACCCGGACCGCTGAATAGCAAATATATTTAATTGAAAACAGACTCACAATAATTGTGACCATAGTGGTTCAGCGTGAATTGTTTTGGGATTCAACTTTAACATAGGTTGTCCCAGAACCTACGTGGGTTAGATTGTGGTTGAAATTCAAGTACTGTACCCCTAACCCCCTTGGAAGGATGCAAGTACTGACCAAGAATGTTTTTGGCCACGTGCTAATGTTCTAAAATTGGCCTCCGACATTCAAACAAGGTCGGCACGGACCACTAACAACACAAACGAGGCGAGCTATATGCATGGTTGCAAGTTAAAAGTAATGTCACATTTGTATTATGTAGTGTGCGGAGTCAATACACTGCTGGATGAACTCCCCCGAGCCACACACACCCCACCGGATATCTTGACCATACTTCACCACGCTGGTAATTATTGTATGACTCCTATCTGGAACATCACCCTTAACGCGTAGCAGTTCGTAAATACAAAAGCCGTGTGGCCGTTATTATGTGACACCAACATATTGCCCATGTTTAGTTATTTGTATAGCTGGTCGACAGCGTGTAGTTGTTTCGTGTGCTAATAATATCGCTGCGACACTGCAATCTTTACGAAAGTTAAAAGCTAACGGTAAACTAAGTGACACCACGTAATCATTACCCCCAGCAATGTGCATTTGCGTGCCAGCGTGCAACACAACGAATAAGTTCGTACCAACAGTTATAACGTTTACGACTACGGCACTACACCACCCAAAACTAGAACATTAACTACAACAATTGCACCCTACGTCCGTCACAAAAAAAAACATCTAGCGGCACAAACTTTGTTAAATAAGCGCCGAAGTGAAGTTGCGAGTCACAAGCAAACAATACATACCACGGTGCCTAACATGTTCCCAGATGCTCCCGAAGCCAAACTCGCACGAGAAATGAAAGGGAACAAGCACAACCGATCTCTGCTTAAGCCGGTGGTACTTGTACTTGCCAGAGCTCTGTGGTTTGTATACGGTGTGTGTGTATATATATTTCTTTCACTTGGTCTCGTACAAGGTCAAGCGAATGCGCACGTCGTGTGTAAGTGGGTGGAGCACGCATGGCCAATCACCAATTTGTCCTCCACGTGAACATTCAGTTCGGTCACCGCACGGGGGCATCAGTTGTTCACCTCCGATGTTTTGTCAGTGGCGAGAATCCGTGTTCACAGATTTTAAAAAGCACACCGGCCACGCTGGAGCTTGAGTTGATTTTGATTTGTTACGCCCGGTTGTTTTTGCAACGGAGGAAAGCACAGCAAGAGCTCAAACTAAAGACGAAAAATATCCACATTGCAGAGAGTGAGTACTGGGTCCTAAATGATCATAATATGACACAATAAACTAATACATTGCACTGGAAACCCTTATGTCAATCACCACCCTTATAAATACTGCAGCATATGCACATCTACAGCACTTTTGTCAATGCACTGCTGGATGGTGATGGATACAGATATTTTAACAAAATATATGTGGAGAAAAAGGGTAGAGTTGTGTTTACGCTTGTATTTGTAATGCTCCACAACAACGCACGCGTTTGTATAAAATATTACTTTTTTGCATTGAGTAGGGTGGCATTGTTGAGAAGGACTGCTCTTGCCAAAAACATTTGTTAACCTAGCAAACTTTATATGCTTAGCTCTTTCGGTAAAGTCACGTTGAAGGGAAACAATAAAATAATAAAATATATATAAAACAATAACAGCTTTCAATCAAAATCTAGCAAACTTTGTTTAACATGATGTTGCTCTGCTTTATCAAACACTGGTGGATAATAATAGTTTGGAAAACCAAGAGGCAGATGGACTAAAACACATTTGCATTTATATGTGGAGACATCACATTAAGGTCTGCTTATTATATGCTATGAAGAAAGTATTTACCAGGCAGGGAGAGGTGAGGTTTTTTTATGTCTGTAGCATTATTGCTTAGGTGCCAATGGGGGAATTGGTATATTGAATTGTGTTTTTCCTAACTATATTCAAATTTGGCTCGTGGCATCATGGTCATTGTACTGTCGCATCCTAACATGATAATAAACTCTTGCAGTTGGCAGAAGATGTTACAGAACTACTTCGAAAGTCTTTAACCTCACTTGGGGTACCATCAACGTGCCACGCTGGAGAACATGATTTAATCATGGGATCTCGGTGGTCTGACATTAGAGCCACCTGGCAATCTCATGAAAATAAAAACCAACTCGCTACACTTGAGAATCCGGTTTAATCACTCGTGGCTGCCTGGATTCAAACCTTCAATTGCAGGCTCAGTGCTCTGAAATGGCATGGTAATAACCACTGTGCCACCTTGGTTATTGCTATGTTATCTACTTAAACAAGTACTGATTGCCACACACAACAAATTCCCCAGGGGCTGCACATGATCAGCCCTGCACCGCTAAATCACTCGCGGACATGTCATCAGTTTTTTAATCTGCGCAGAGCCCAAATTGGTGTTTAGATAGTTATAGCAATCCCCCCACCCTCACTGCCTTGCCAGCCTCGCTAAATTTGTTTTATTCTGCTGTCTCTCAGAGCAACTCATCATAAAGTTATGGAAAAGCCTCAGGAGTGGATGGAGAATGGCGAATTGAATGTAGTCAGACCAATACCCAACTCCAGTACAATTAAAAGTGAACAACTGATTTGATTTTATTCAAGTGTTTTTCCTAATTAATTACCCAAAAATCATATATTCATACCCAGTCTACATTTCCCAAAAGAGACAAGAAATGTCTTCATATATATGTATTTCTTAATGTGAAAAAAAAACTTTTTAAACAACCCATCAGCTGAATTGATTAAGTAAACAGATACTGAGACCTAGCATCTACATTTCCATTGCTATTGATATTCCCCACAATGGTGCTAATCATGGTTATTTTGTGCTATGTACTTTTTACATTGAAGTCACCGAAGCAGCCAGTTACACATTTATAGGATTGGTCACCCACTCTCAATGTTGCTACACCAGACTCTGCTCGCATCTACAGATTTGGCAGGACAAGTGTTATTATTAGATATGTTTCAAATGTAATTATTACAGTAGTCAAATAATGGTGTTTGCGGTTAGGTAGATAACTAAACAAACATCTAAATACTGTATCCCTTTAATTATAACAATGCTGGGCAATGCTTCTATTTCTGTTTCTCAGCCATGGTGGCAATTCTATATTCCCAGGGCGGGTGCCAGTACATCCATAGCAATGTATTGTATTAAACCAAGGGAGAGCACAAGCTCTCGAGGTTACCCACACTGTGGAGAAGGAGCGATTCAATATCCATAACAGAGGTTTGATTGGGTTAGATCGCGTAAATATATAAATGTGTCATTAAACCCGCCACCACCCGGTACAGCGACGGCCAGATTTGTGATGAAGCTAGTTGTAATTACTGGCGAAACGTCGAACTCAGATTGTAAATGTTGTGGCTTGGCTCTCCGACACACCGGTGTGCTGTACTAGTGACGAATTGGCATGTTCTGTTTTCGTGACAACCCTTACTAGTTGGCTGTGTCGGGTGGTGGCGGGTTTAATGACACATTTATATATTTACGCGATCTAACCCAAAACAACCTCTTATGAATGATATTTGTCGCGAAAGCCTACGTGTTAAGCGATTACATGTTCATATGCAAATGGTTAGTTGCATCGATAGACCATACGAGATGGCAACGCCACTTGGAAGCAATCATTCAGCATGGCTCTCCATGTTTTCAAATATCCACTTATAAGTTGCAGGATTTAATGGGCAATTATAAGTTGCAGGATTTAATGGGCAATCATGTTCAAGAAAAAATATAAAAACTACTCATCATTAGCACTGCTTTATAAATACACTAGCTGTACTACCCCGGCTTCACCCGGGACTTGGATTCACCACACCCGGCCGCCTTTGTCTCCCCAGTGGCGATGTTCACACACCACAACAGTTACTCGTTTGAGGCTGAGTCGACCTGGGGGAGGCCCAGGACCAGTTAAAATAATATTCACCAGTGGTGGCCGTGAGCGGGAATCGAACTCGTGTTGCCGGGTTCGTAGCGCAGCGCGCTAACCACTACACTACAATGCGTTACGTTGCCACACAGACACATACACAGCACGCTAACCACTACACTACAATGCGTTACGCTTCCACACAGACACACACACAGACATACACAGACACAGCGCGCTAACCACTACACTACAATGCGTTACGCTTCCACACAGACACACACAGACACATACACAGCGCGCTAACCACTACACTACAATGCGTTACACTTCCACACAGACACATACATAGCGCGCTAACCACTACACTACAATGCGTTACGCTTCCACACAACAAGAACAACCGCCATTCGCCACTAAGTGGCGGTGACGTCACCACGACGCTTGTGCCAGGCCACGTGCACCTTGAGGCCACGTGAAGTGTCGAACGCCCGCTGGCAGGAGGTCACGGGGCAGACCCAGATGCCACAGGTCGACTGACTGAGATGACTGGCTGATGCACCACCTGTGCCCCCTACTGTGCCAACCTGCTGTGCTTTATCCACCCGGCGCTCCGCTCGTTGTTGTGAGCGTCGCTCCTCCGCCCTCCGTTGTTGTTGGTGGGCGACTGCCTCCAACTGCCCAGTAGCGTCCTTCACGAGCCTCCTCCACAGAGGCCGATCTTGACACCGCTGGTACCAGTCATCGGCAAGTCCACTGAGCTCCACTTCCTCCTGTACCACATCACTCCATCTCTTCTCTAGCCCGTGCCGCGCCCGTTTAGCCCCCTCGATCCGGCCGAACAAAAGCTGTTTCGGCATGCGGTGGCTGGGCATGCGGGCTACATGACCCAGCCATCGCAGCCTTGCCTGCCGGAGGAGATGGGACCTTGCCCAGATCTTTCAAGGATTTGTGAGCTCCTCACACAATCCAGCCTGGTTAAACCCAGGATGGATCGTAGGCAGGCCAGCCTAAATGTTTCTAACCGGCGAAGATGTTCCATTAGGGGGATCCACGTTTCGCAAGCGTAGAGAAGGGAGGGAATGACCGTGGCCGAGAAGACCTGATGCTTAGTGCGGAGCGACAGACTAGGTAGCTTCCACACAGCGTTACGCAACCGATGAAAAGATATTACCGCTCGACTGCGTAACGAGCGGCAAGCTCACACACAGACACACACAGACACATACACAGCGCGCTAACCACTACACTACAATGCGTTACGCTTCCACACAGACACACACACAGCGCGCTAACCACTACACTACAATGCGTTACGCTTCCACACAGACACACAGACACATACACAGCGCGCTAACCACTACACTACAATGCGTTACGCTTCCACACAGACACACACAGAGACACACATACACACACACAGACACATACACAGCGCGCTAACCACTACACTACAATGCGTTACGCTTACACACAGACACATACACAGCGCGCTAACCACTACACTACAATGCGTTACGCTTCCACACAGACACACACACAGACACACACACAGACGCATACACAGACACACACACAGACAGACACACACAAGACACATACACAGCGCGCTAACCACTACACTACAATGCGTTACGCTTCCACACAGACACACACAGACACATACACAGCGCTAACCATTACACTACAATGCGTTACGCTTCCACACAGACACACACAGACACATACACAGCGCGCTAACCACTACACTACAATGCGTTACGCTTCCACACAGACACACAGACACATACACAGCGCTAACCACTACACTACAATGCGTTACGCTTCCACATGCGAGGGTCACGTGACAGATTTGACGTCACAGCTCACTTGCCGTGCAAAAAATATACATTATTGAGCTCCCCCCCACCAAAAATAAAGTGTATTTTTATAATGTTTGCATGGTGTACAGTCTGGAAAGTACCCACATGGCAAATTTCAAGTTTGTTGCATGTCGAGAAGTACGCTAAACATTTTGAACAGACACATTCGCAACTTTGCCTTTTATATATATGGAGATAAGTCCAAAAATGTCCTCCAAAATTCTTATCCTAAATTGTGTGGATTATTGAAGTCATGTGGCTAAAACTCTTAAAATCTTCATTTTTTTCAGCGAGGATATTTGGATAAATATTGCGGTGCTGTGCGGATTACAGGGTACATGACAACCTCTCCCATCACCACGTGTGTCTTAAGTTCGACTTGGAAACGTGTGGAGTGAACCAGCATTAAAAAAGTAGGCCAATGTCCTCTACACTCTTATAAAGGATCACCTCTCGTACCTAGAGAGGTTCTATAGAGCTTCTGCCAGAAGAGAACCATAAGCAAGCAATTTCAAGGCTGCACCTTCGTATGTTCCACAATACACAGTCATAGATGTTTTAAGCAGTGGCCCTTCTTCAGTACACAACTGTACTCAAATCACAAGTACCATTTGCGGCATCTCCAATCAGCAGTGGATAGATCATGGGGCTGGTAATCATCAGACCTTCATTTCTCACGGAATATTTCCAAGGTGGGAGCTGTGGCACAATTTTCCGGAGCTGAGCCTCGGGAAATCTCGGGCTGCGAGTGACCCTAGCTGCCACTGCTATTCAGTGGCCTAAAATATGGCTCTAGAGTTTGGTGTTACATGTTATTTATGTAGTTTATTGTTAAAAATTCGGTCACAGTCCCTATGATCACTGTTACATTGCATTTATGGCTTTTATTTTGGTGATTTCGAAAACTTTTTTTTGGTTTTGGCCATGTTTTTGTCTATTGTCGTACGGAGTTGGACTGATGGCCTTAATCTTAGTTGTCTTGTGGTTGTTGTTGTTTGACTTGCATCCCACTGGGATTTTTGCACACAGCGTTGGTGTATGGTGCTATTTCAGGAATATTTTGATGTTTTTTTTCCTGGATTCTTCACTTTAAGATGTTTTCTTGTTCATGTTTTTGTTTTTTTGTTTGTTGCGGTTGCACCCGATTCAAGAGCCGAATGGCTCACAGGGCTATACCAAAATAAATGGAAAATGAAATGAAAAAAAACAAGTTAAATGCCCAGCGCAGCGCGACACAACGTGTCGCAGTTTTGAATTTTGTGGATTTGCCCCTGAGTTTAGACGCTGCAAATAGAGCGGGGTTTTCCCTCCCTCATCTGACAACACTTGTCCTGACCAATGGGCTTCTGTAGGCGTGTCCCTTCGCGTTGGGAAGGAGAAGCAATGCTGCTTTTGGTTGTTGCTGCTGCTGTGTTTTTTCCCCTTCTATTGGTGTAATGAACGCTTGCTTTGCTCATAGCCAGAATGGCTTAGCTGGCTGGTTAGGAGAGAGACCAGCACCGTGCCGTGAATTACGTGCTGTCCAGTGAGTGATCAAGGGTCGTTTTTGTGGCCATGGAAAGAGACACATTGGCCATGAGATAGATGCACGTCCGACGTGGATTGTGGCGAATTCGGCTGGATTTCTCAAAAGAACGCGGGGCCTCGTTTTCTTGCGGGTAGCTGCATTGATTTATTATTATCAATAAAACACATTTGTCTCCAGGTGATGATGGCCTGGCATCTGGACAAGACTACGGTAAGTTTTGTTGTTTTGTTATTTTATTTAATTGCCACTGTGAGTTACCTTGCACTCCCGCTTACTTTACCCGTGGGGGGTGGCACAGATGGAATTTCTGTCATGCAGAACGAGGCCTTTATTTTACCACGTGGATGCCCGTCGAGATTTGAGATGCTTCTTTTTGATCGACCACACGGTATACAGTAAAATAATGTGTGAAAACTTAAGGAATAAATTGACACGGTACAATGCTATACTTTACATGTACAAGGTAATACAATGTTTCTGTGCGGTGGGCATCAAAGGGACGGTGCTGCGAAATCCCCCTTGTTCTACTGTGCAGTACTTCTATGCGTCCACGTGTTTGAAGCCCTCCTGCAACTGGGAATGACCCGCGTGGCGAAGTATGGTTAAACAGCACCCACGTCAGACAGGGGAGGCTCTCATACTGGAGTGGACTAAGCAATAATAGACCGTACACATGTACTTCGTACAATAATTACGTGGCATTTAATTTTAAATAACGGGCAATTGCAAAGTCTTTTGGGGGACTATCCTGATGAAGACCGCTTGTGTTGCGATCGAAACGTCGTAGGTTTTTTTGCTTTTATTATCTTCAATTTGTTATATTTTTTTTATTTTCTATCTACGTGACTTTACCGAAAGAACCAAGAATATGGGACTAGCCCTGTGATGTACATGTTACATGCTTGAAGTACAACACACGGACGTTGTATTTTGTAGAGATGTGCTTACACGTTTGGCATGTTCATATTTTTTTTAAATTGTAAATACTATATACTTTTATTTACCGTACCACGTGTGGACTCAGAGGCCATGTGCGTTCCACCCCCCCTAAACGACAATGAGAATACTGTACAGTAGAGTCACATAACGGAAAGGTAGTAAATCCGCCACAGATTCCCTTGGTAGTTCGAGCAAATAAAGTTAATTTGTGGGCATGTTAACCTCGACACTAATGCACACAGCACACGGGTTTACAATAACAATGAACTGTACAGCGCTGTACACAAAACTAGCCAATGTTGCTGTGATATATTCTGCACTGATACGTTCATCTGTAAGTGTAACAGGCACGTGAATGGCTGTGCACGTTACGGCCCTTTGTCAAGCCACTGCTGGATGAGGGCTTTACCCACGCCGTGTGGGTCATGGGGGTTATTTGACCATACTTCACCACGCCGGTCATTGCGGGTCGGTGAAGGCGGAGTACAGTACAACAATGAGATTTGCTGAGCTGCCCTCTGCCGACTACCAATTAGCACAGCCCCAGAAACATCTATAGCAACTTGGCATGCATGGTGGTCGTCCATTCAAGCACTATATATAGGTTCAATCCTGCTCAGAATAATAGCGGTGTGTCAAGTCGGCATAAACCTATTTATTACTCTGAATGCGCATGGCAACCTACAGAGGCCGTAGTGCTGTTAAAAATAATGTTGTATTTATATGACGTATCTTGTGACCAAAGAGCACCAAGCTAGAGTTACAACAATTTTGCTTGCTCGCCCCTTCTGCTTTAATCCGAGTGGGTTAAAATGGTGTTTATTGGGGGGTGGTGGGTATAGTGCGGATTCGTGAGCTATGTGTGCATGGGTCTGAAGGAATAGCTCAAAATAGGAAAGACAAAGGTCTTTCCAAGAAAGGAAAGCAGATAACCAAAGAATGTCCCTTTGCCACACAGTTTCAGTTTCTTTATTTTGGTATAGCCCTGTTGAATCGGGTGCAACCACAACAAAAAAAAAACAACACGAACAAGAAAAAACATCTTAAAGTGGCTGTGACTGCAAACAGAAAATCCATGAAAAAAAACAGCAAAATATTCTTGAAAAAAGCACCGTGTGCAAAAAAATCCCAGTGGGATGCAAGTCAAACAACAACAACCACAAGAAAACTTAGATTAAGGCCATCAGTCTAACTCCGTACTACAACAAAACAAACGTGTCCAAAACAGAAAACGTTTGTTTTGGGCACTCTTGCTTTGCCACACGAGCTTCGATTGTGCCGTGGCTATCCCTGGCAGGCATTCACAAGCACAGTATTTATTGGTGGCACACATCAGTGGGGCACAAATCAGTAGGGCCAAACCAAAGGAGATTTTATTAACAGAGTTGTTTTATGTCCGCTTGCCAACGGGTTGTTACTTGGTATACATGCCCCACAAGGGCCAGGGTTAGCAAACTTGCATGCGTGTCTGCCAATTCCATGGAAATGCAATGTTTTAAATGTCGAATGTGGCACAGAGGCAATGTATAGTATTTGTGGCTGTATTTGCAAACCCTTATTGTTTGCAGTTGTCAAGCAAAGGTCAATATGTAAGTTGTTAACCGTGCAGGTCTGGGCTTGTATTTTTGTTGGTGGTTTCTCTTTGGCCACACTTGGCAGTACTTGGTTACTATACTCGATCACACTTATGTGATGGTTCAACTTGGATGTAAGAAGTGTCCTGCAACCTTGTAATGTCAACGTCACGTCGGGAAAATACTATGTTTTATAGGTTTTAATTTACCATTAATATTTAACAAGATACACGACAGTAGTTTTATATGTAGAGCGAAAACGTACTTCTTACATAATCATGTAAGTGGTTGTGAGCAGAATGAGTGGTGAAATGGAGCCATTGTATTTTTGTGTGATGTCAATGACAGGTGTGTAATGAATTTTAAAAAAAACATAGTTTGCTAAGTATCATCAGTTATACATTTGAAATATTTTAGTAAGTCTGGTTTTATTTGGCTGAATTACGCTAGCTGGTTTGAGTTGATGTATTCAAACAATAGGTGCTGCAAGAACAATTGGAGAGTAAAGAGCCTTATTTAATGTTCTTAAAGAATAAAATAAGGCGTACGTTGTTCAATTGTCTCTTTGGCCCCACCTATTGTACAAAATGTGGAAAACACAAACTGGATTATTTCAGCCAAGCCACCCGGAGCACGACTGTCGTACTGCCGCTTTTGAATTTCAATTCGTGATCGCTAACGGAAAAAAAAAAGTTTCTTTCGCCAACTCTGCGAATACAAATTTTTGTTTTCCATAGGAAGGCGACCGCTTGGGCATGACAGCTGCGAAGGCGATCACCGTGGCTGGTTTGCCGTGCTGGGCTACGTTTGACGGTCACCGACGCTGCTGTTGAGGAGATGGAGGAAGCCAGTGGTGGGACTTGTGCGGAAGACCCAAAAGTGGCAGCAGTGGAGGGTGATGAGGAGGAGGAGCAGGAGCAGGATCAGGAGGATGGAGCCTCTGCTTCCCTTGTGCCGGAGGATGCCGTGGGCTTCCCTGCAGGCAGGCCTCCGCCCGTGCTGGCAGGAGCGGACTGGTCGGCCGCCCTCAGTTTGCCCGAGACCGAGAGCTGGCTGGCGCACATGAGCGGACGTGTGGCGCAACTCGGCCGGGAGGTTCAGAGGGACGTGGAAGGTGTTCGGACTGAGCTTCATCTGAAGCAGTTCAAGGTTAGTGGCTGCATGCAGTGTTGTTCGTTTTCACAGTTGGCAGAAATACATTCGGACAAAGAAAATTGCACTCTGTTCACAGGAGTGCACGTACATCTTTAAAATAAACTCGCCTCCTTGGTTGTAAACAATGTCTTATGAGAGAATCATATTTGGATAATCTTTATTTTCCATTGTTATGTATTCTTGTATTTATATCAGTTGCAGATGCTTCATTCTCTACTGCCTATAGTGTGATATATATATAACTTAGTATTTGAAGTAAACAGCCACGACAAATATTTAATAGCTTATATTGTATTGTCGTTACTAAACATTTCCATCGGTGAGTAATCAGACATTTATAAAGGTAGTATTATTCACAGGTGCTACTTTTTGCATTGTCAGCCCAATGCTTAAATGTGTGTTCTGCTGAAGTGCAAAATTAAATATTAATGATTTTTCTTTCCTTTAACAAAAAAGATAATTACAGTTTATCTCACACTACTGATATAGCTAGAAAATATGAATTATTGATTTGAGCATAGTGTGGCAACCTTTTGATGTCACTGTTGTATGTCTATGTTTACTATACCGTTTTATAATGAGCTACAATCATTTAACAGCAAACTAATTTATTTTAACTGAACAGCAGTGGCTGTACATTAGTTATGTGTTGCGTTGCTTTAACATGGGATACAAAATATTTTTCAAACTAAGACGCTTGTAAAATAATAGTCAGATTGGTCAGTGAGTAGAGGTGTTAATGATCTACATCTCAGTGATTCGAGTAAATTACATACAACATATAATAACCAAGAACATCACTTCTTACACATGTGATTCATGAGCCGAGGAATCAATATTAATAAATGAATCGATTATTTTTTTGTTCCACTCATTACATTGAGCTTAGATGGAATGATTGCATTTGTTTTCTGTGTCAAAGGAACGTGCTGGAAATAATTTACTACATGATTGAAACAGTGTGCAAATTTCCGACTTATTTTCTGCGTGCCTGTGTAATTGAGGTTGATTGATTGACTATTTCACATGTGACAACCTATTGTGAAAACAAGTTTGTTATTCAAGTGTCACTTGGATCAACAGGGTACAATAACGCAACAAAGCTTAGACTTGGAGAACACGCATAGCTCTACAGGAGACGTTCAGTTAAAACATCAGCAATAGATGCAGATTGTTAAAACAAGCAAACCGAAAAAAGTCTTGCAAAAGCAAGTCACGGTAAACAAAAGGCGTAGATCACTTACGAGCAACTTTTAAAACAAACTTTCAAAACAGGGTGCAGAAACTATATTGAGTAAATATAGAAATGTGATGTATTCACATATTCCCCAGTAGACTATCCAGTTTGTCATGAAAGATGATGGAGAGGGAATGGATTGGATCTCCAAATTACTCCAAGTCAGCACGGATTATGTACGGACCTATAACTCTCAATACTTAACAGAGAGCATTTGAGGCTCATTTTAAATGAAATATAACTGATTCACCTTTTTTAAATCAATGACTGGATGAAGGCCTTCCAAAACGATGGTGATCATTTGGATTTTCTAATAATACTTAACCATACTGGTCAGCAGAAGGTTTGGTGAAGGTGGGGACCCAGTACCTGATCTGATATCACTTACCACTGGTGTTAGCCTTGGCTGGGAATCAAACTTAGATCACAAGGTTCATAGCACAGTGTATTAATGACTGGTAATACTGTTGGCTTATATTGTAAGGTATTACGTCTTGAATAAGTAAATAATTAAGCTCAACGGAAGTTCACTGCTGATGGCTTTAAAAACATTAAATAATGAATACCTCCCTGGTAGGATATTGGAATATAATCTGACTTCGCAGCAGTTGCAATGACTAATTTAACAATGCATTTATTATTATTATCAAATCTTAACCTCAGGTGCACGCACAAAATGTTGTGCATAAGAACGATGTAGTATTTACAGGTAATTGGTTCATATTGTGCCTGCAGCCACTAGTGGCTGCTATACATTCAGCACAACGTATATATGCACTTTTATTAATGGATAGAAGCACAATCTTGAATAGTACCAATTCATCCAATTGCCAGGGTTAGGCGGTTGGATACGTGTTACATCTACATCAACTATCCCTTAACCACAATGATCATGTGGGTGCTAACGATGCTTTGAAGGCAGTCCTTAGCGGTCTATGTCGTTATTCTGGCTTCTATCAGTCCATGTTATCACATTTCCCACAATTGATCTTGTGTCATCCTCTCCTTCTGCTGGGAAGTATCTTGATCGCGTGATCTGTATGCAGATATGGTGGGTATTGATGGCAGTTTTTGTAACATTACTAACCCCTGGAATTGCTTGTTTGAAAGACACACCCAATATAAGAGGATGTCCTTTAAAACATGGGGAATACTGTCAGCCGCCTGCTATTAAAGCGATAGGATCTTTATGCAAACAAAGCCACATTGAACTATAACAATTTAGACACATAAACTTCTTAGATGCTGTACAGTTATCAAGAGTACTGTATATGATTTTTTATGTTTTGAGTTCGATGAAAAATCGTGTCCGTTATATTGTAGCAATGGTATCATAGGCCACGATCTGCCCGCTGCTTAAATAATGCCTCTCAATCCTGTGATGTAATAAACAATCTGTCGAGCTCCTATGCACGATCTGATATTTACCTTCCATCTCTTCAGTCGTCGTACTCTCAGGCATCTTTCCTATTTTGGCTGCCACTGTTATTAGTAGTCCCTTTCACCAGCCATCATTCCTTTCCCAATGTGTCCTACCCAAGCCCAGTTACTTTTATTAACAGTCAATTATGTTTATAACTTGTGTATTTCCTCTAATCCCCGTGTTCATCGTCATGCATTTCAGTGAAACTCCAAGCGTGCACTTCTCTAGGCCTATGCACACTCTTTGAGCCTTTTCCATTTTCTTTGTCAATGTCCATGTGTTTTTATTCCTATGTCAGCAGGTAATATTCAAATTAAAAAAAACACAATCTTCTATTGCTACGTTGTAATGTTGATTTTCATTGTTATGTTTAGTTTTACAAAGGAACTCCACCCTGTTTTTTGTTGAAGGAGATGATAATCGTGATATAAGTATATTTCCTTAAATGAAAAAATATATATGGCAGGACTGCTTTTAGTTGTCAGATTCGATATTCCGTACATTTGACCAAGTCAGTTTCTCCTGCCAACTCATCATGGTCATTGGTCCTCATCATGAAACCATGGTCTCGTTTGTGCTTTAAACACTCGATTGGGTGTCTTGAATTTGGAACGGCTCACTAAGCAACAGAAATACGGAGGGGGGGGGGGAGTGGAAAGGGGGGGGGGGTAATTGGAATGCTGTCATCTGGTAATGGTTTACAGATTGCTTAGTGTAACTGGTGTTCCTTGAAGGCAGTTGAATTGAGGGTTGCTGGCCAAAAAAAGTTCTACATTTCAGCATAACAGAGTTTGTTCCAATAAATAATATACAACTTTAAATACAGAATAAAACTTGCTTGATATATTGAAGACAACAGCATTATTAATCCAGGTATATTCTAAGAATAAAATATAACGTGCAGTATAGCCCTTTGTCAATCCACTGCTGGTTGAAGACCGCATACCCGCACCAGTCATTGAGGTTGTTTGACCATACTTCACCACACCGACCAGTGCAGGTTGGTGGAGTAAGGGTGCTCAGGACCGATTCAGATATCGCTCACCACTGATGTTAGCCATTGCCAGGAACCCACTCAGGTCACTGGGGTTCACAGTGCAGTTTGACGGTCACTGTGCCAACACTCCACCTTCAATTACAGTCTTCAGCTACATTTGCAGGAGACCATATACTGCAAAAATGCATCATCTTACATAGATGCTATTAAACTAATTGTTTTCGCATCATATTTTGCATTGCTAAAGTAACCAAGCTTGAATGCCAAAGGACACGATGGTGGTAACCAGTAACCACAACAGTGCAGTCTCTATGCAAAGGCTTGAAAGGGCTTTTCAAACTGTACATTCCATACTAGCAAGAGTAAAACAATCATTGGGGCTGGCAAGGTTAAACACAGACTGCAGAGAATTAGAGTTGTGCAGGTAAGACTATCAGTCTATCACCTTCAATACGCCACTGTTGACTGATTTTATGCTATTCTCCGTGCAATCTGTAGCTATTTGTCTTTGATGAACAGTTCCAATGGAAATCAGTGGAAGCCCCAATTTCCTTTTAGCGCGATATCGTTCGTTTTCGACAGACAATAGGGCACCTGAGCCTCATATTGATTCAGCTGGATAGCTGCTGCCATTCTGCTTTATGATGATTGCATTTACTGTGTGATAGGGTCTGTAGTCACGTGCAGTTTATGGTCATAAACATGCATTGGGATAAGTCGTAGTTTACATAAAGGTATTAGAAAAGCACATTAAGACTCCTGGCTGTTGATGTCGTTTTATGCCCAGGCATTCTCGCTTTGCCGAAGTTGTGTACATTAACTAGAGTGTGATTATAAAACTGAGTGCCATTGTTTGGGGTTGCCTACATAAATTATGCAGGAAGTGACTCCATAATCGGAATGTTTGTGGTAAAAAAAACACATAAAAACATGTGTTCTCCTGGGAAATCAGGGGCCAGCCCTTATGAGTCATTGTGCAGCTTGGAAGGAGGGTATATTTGATGTACTGTTATGTATTTGATCACATTTAACCTATTATGATGAGCACAATTATAATGAAAACTATCCTGCTTTCAATGTAATTGAAATACAATGGGAAATACAATTTTGCATAATTGCCTTCCTTGCTGTACAATGCCTGTCATTAGTAATTTGTGCTCTCTTAGAGGATTTCTATTTTGGGCCTGATGTATTAGCTGGGTGTACACTGGACTTTTGGCTTCAAGAGCACCTGCGCAGGGACAAGCATTTGGGCACCACCTTCAACCTCACGTAACAGTCTTTTTTTTCATCGTGATAATTTTATTTATATACTCAGTAAAACCTCACTGAGTCTCAAGACTGTTTTCAAGAGGATGCTGCATTGGGATATTTGGCAAACTATGCTGGTGCATGTTTCAGCAGATAACTCAATGAAACTCCATCACATTTGTGGGGTGACCCTCAAAGCTCTGCACAGTTAAAGAATCCACTGCTATACTGTTATCTCCTGGCTACCTCAACCCACGTTCATACCACCTGGTATTCCCAGACAGTCACCCATCTAAATATGAACCAGGCTTACCTTCTGAAATCTGACGAGATCGGGTATAATCAGGATAATTTGCCTACAGGGTGATTTAGTGATGGAAAAAGCATGCTTATCCTGCTGTCTCGGCTCCAAATCATATATTGCCGAATGTTAATTTCCATCCTATTTTTTGTAAAAAAAAATGTGCATATGTGTTAATCATTAACAATGAGGCAAATAATATAAGGTGAGGGATTTATGACGTTGCTTTAATTGGTTTGTCTTCTCGTCATTTAATACCTCATCAAATCTTTGTTAGCTGTTCCAAGTAGATTTCGATTTAAAGCTTTCGTGACTGCAGGGATTCATCTTCTTGGTTCTTTCGGTAAAGTCACGTAGAAGGGAAATAATAAAATAATAAAAATAAAACATAATAAAATAAAATTCTCACGACGTTTCAGCCACAACACAAGTAGCCTTCCTCAGGTGATGAAACAGAACTGTCAGAAAGACAGCGCTCCAATGAACACCGCTAAACTTGGCAGTGTATTTTAAGCTGGGTGGGAGGAGCAGAGCGCTTTGACAAAGGAGTTTCAACAGAAGAATTTAGCATGGAAGTAGCTGTGTTAATGTGAGAGATTAGCAGGATGTTAAAGTCAGAAATTAGCATGTAACTGGGATATTAGCATGATGTTAGTGTGAGGGATTAGCATGTAACTGGTCACGGAAGTAGCTATGTTAAAGTCAGAGTTTACATATCAACAGAGGAATTTAGTATATTGACGCTAAAGAACTGCAACTACCCAACTATCATACAATAAACCGATATGAAAGAACTAAATATAAAGTACATCAATATATTGAGTACATTGATTATATTGATGTAGTTTCTATTTAGTTCTTTCACATGTACACTTTTGCAAACAATATTATTCATTTTTTCGATTTAAAGCTTTCGTGACTGCAAGGATTCATCTTCTTTATTCATTCTACGTGACTTTACCGAAAGAACCAAAGAAGAATATTATTCATATTAAAGGTTTTTGGGTTAGATCTCGTAAGTATAAATGTGTCGTAACTGGCTGTGTCGGGTGGTGGCGGGTTTTAACGACACATGTATATATTTACGCGATCTAACACAAAAAAAGCTCTGTTATGGAGATTAGTAATCAGTGAATTAATATGTTATATATATAAGTAATTGTAAGATGTATTACTTAATAATATGCTTCCAGGCCGCACTAAACCTGTAGCATTATAAAAAAAAAAGTTGTTATGACACCCACTGTAAAATAACCTTTAGGTTTTTTTGAAGCTTTCCTTGTCTTATTTGTATTTTATAATTCATAACATTATTCGCAGCCGTGTCAATACACTGCTGGCTGCACCATGACATTTGCACCTTTTTTATATTCTGCAACTTAATTTTTGCCAGAAATGTAAAATGTAACAAAGCACCCACTCCACGGTTGCCAGTTCATAGTGCAGTCTGCTAACCACCGTGCCGCCAATGTTCATCTTTTAAGAACCCCATTGTACATTGCGTAAGCTAGTGGACCATGCCAATAGCTTACTGCATTCTCACCGTAACCTCCACCTTTCTTTCGCTCTCGTCGCGGCAGGAGATTTGCGTGGAGGTGTCGGGCCGCTCGGAGTGTGTGCGCTCCCTGCTGGGGACCGAGTTCCCGCTGAGGCTCCTCTCCCCAGCGTGCGCGGTGCCGGGAGCCGTGCGGCGCGCGGGCCAGCGCTGGCACCAGCTGCGAGTATCGCTCCAGGTGCTCCGGGAACGTCTGCTGCGGGAGAGCAACGGGCGCCATCCGCCCGCCGCTCGGAGCCTGCGAGCGTCGATGGTGACGGCATACTGGGATGATGTAAGACATTTGACCACTCTTTTCCTTTCTGACATGGGGCATGTAATGTATATATTTTCCATATATTCTGACCTGCCAGTTGCAGCGCAACGTCTAGACGAGACGTATGGCTTGGAAGAGTTGGCGGAAATACCCTCCTGGAGGGGTTGTAGAGCTCACTCGAATGGAGATCCTTCTGTCTGCAGCAGTTTGAGGAGGAAATTGCAGGGCTGCACCAGTTACCTTTAATTTACCCTTTTTTTAATGCAACTTCATTTGGGGAAGTGACCTGCAGGAGAAGTTGCGCGTTCACCACTTTCAGTTTTTCATTCCAGCAGCCACTCTGGTTATTATGTATTAACCAACAAATACTACGCGGAGTCAGCTTCACAGTCGACGTCAAAGATCCCCAGACATCATTCACAAGAGTGGGCCGGCGTCATGGCCCAAATTTGAAGAATTACACTGCAAAATTACTCAGGATTTTGGATTGCAACCTTCGCCCTCCTACTCTGAAAACTTGACAGAACCCTCCTGAAAAAGAGTCATGAGACTCACATAGGCTTTACCTTGGCGAAAAGCAAAATAGATTTGTCAGAAATGAAAATTAAGAATGTAATAATTCTCCCCTCTTGAAGGTACGATAAATTGTCACAATTCAGGGTCATGATTCGATTATCATGAATCGGTTGTGTTTTGTATATTATTTAACCAGAATAGACCCTAAAGATGTACATCTCATTCCCCATTGAATGTATAATAATCTGTGATGGAATTAATTGAGAATAGATAGTGCTTCAAACAAATGAATAGGATGAAATGGCAGTGGTGCGCACATACACACACATATCAAAAATACTCAGAATAGTCACCTATAACATAGCCTAATAGCAGGAAAATATAGCTGACAGTATTACAAAAGGTTATCGTTTAAGATCACACGTAAGAAATTATGACTGTCTTCTTTGCTTCTTTCGGTAAAGTCACGTAGAATGAGAATAAAATAATAAAATAAAAATAAGACAATAAAATTATCATGACGTTTCGGCCAAAACACAAGCGGCTTTCTTCAGGTGAAAGAACAGAACTGTCGGGACGACTGAAGAAGGCCGCTTGTGTTATTCTCATTCTACGTGACTTTACCGAAAGAACCAAAGAAGATGATTCCCTGCAGTCACGAAAGCTTTAAATCGAAAATTATGACTACTTGGTATCATAGGTAAAACTGGACAAATTTGATAATGTATGCCCATTTGCAGAGTTTATAAATGCTTTTCTGTTGGACACCAGCATGGGCTATTAAAAGCAGCCTGGTTGCTTGGTGAATAAATGGCCCTGATGCTTTTATATATGGCCACACATTTTTGATTGTCAGTCATTCTTCATGTGTGCTCACGCGATATGATAAGATGACTAAAATGTCATGACTTGTAAAATCATCGATACATTGTACATTAAATTGTAAATAAGCAATTTTCACATCATCAACCATAATCTATCCACTGCTGGATGAACGGCCTACCCAATAAAATCTCCAGCTTTGCTAAATCCCAATTAAAAGCAATACATTTGAGTAGGCTGTGCAATTCTGTGAAATAGGATGTGTATATATATTTTTTTGATCAAACGTTAATAAATGAAAAACACACTTTTTGCAAAGCGTGCATTATAAAGGTCTGCAATGGAGGCACGCACACACACACACCAAAGGGGTCATGATGGTGCCTGGCCTCTTTTCAAAAAGCTTTGCCACCCTGGAGGCCTCCCCGACTGGAGAGATTTTAGATGCAGCGTTTACAATTAAAGAGCGAGATTGTGCTCCAGTAATACCGTGTGCCCCAGGGCTGCCCCCTTAGATGGGATTTTATGGGCATGGCTGTGTCCTGCTGTGAAAGATAAGGAAAGTCACCTTGTAATCGTATGTTCAATTTGTCCACACAAAACACTTTTTTTTTACCATGAGTAAATCTCCCCCCTCCCTTTTCCTCCTTTAATTGCCCGGTTTATTTGTCAATCGTTTGTTCTCAATCTCAGGCAAACAGAATGTTTTTGTCGATAACAAATTGTGGAATTTGTTATTACTAAAATTTAAATGCACATTTAAGATCTGTTATTAAATTCTAAATGGCTTCAAATATTTACACCCTACCTTTTGTGGTGTCTTGGCATCTTCCAAGTACCCGTTGCTACAGGTGACCACGATTGCCAGATGGCAGGGTCGGTCCGAATAAAAACAATATCTGCACTTTACGGGTCTGTATTGAAGAGTAATGTTCATCAGCAGTTTCTGAAAATAAATAACATGTAATTGCATGAAACATTTCTGCATCTGATTAACAGTGTATTAATGTAAAATATAAATTTAATTGAAAGTGCGTGACTTTCGGTAGTTTGTCTTTTCGAATAAAAAAATGTGAAATTGTTAAAGTAATGGTAAATGAAGGGCTGATGCGTTAGAATGTCAAGGACCTTTTTTTGAAGCACAGTAAAGGCAATTTGGGTATAGGATGCATTAAGTTGCCAGCTGAAGTCATCAAGTCATCACTGTCTCAGATTTGGTGAAATTATTTTCTTGTAATGCCTCAACCCGTGAAACCTTCCTAGGGTGCCTCATTATACACTTAACTGCTTTTCTACAATGGGAATAGTAGAAGAGTGTGAATTAATGTGATGTATCTGACATGAATCTTCCCTTGAGACCGAGCCTATTGGACCGCCTAAATAGAGGCCATAGCATGAAACCAAACCATTACTTTCTCACACGTTAGCCCAGAGGGAATTTATTTGAAAATGTCTTAATTAACAAGTGTACATGTGGTTCTCGTTTACATATTTACACTGGGTAAATCACCTATACGTAAATGGTTTCAGGCATACATGTATATTAGAATTATATTATGATATTTCAGATTGTAATGAAAATTATTACATTTTCATAATGACTTCATTGAAATAAAACATGTATTCTATTTTACATAGTATGTTCATTGAAATACAACAGCATAAATTAACAATCTCTATCAAGTTGTATAGAATTATACAGGGTGTTTTAAAAAGTTGGACACAATTTGAAATCGCTTTGCTTTGACATTGGGTCCATTTTAAAACACCCTGTATTCTAATGTAATGGTAATACAATCTAAGAAGTGCATTCAATGTTTTTTTAAAATAAAATGTGTTATATAATATTTTAAATTGAGTTGATGAACTATTACATAGATTTAAAATTAATCAAAAACGGTGTGTGTTTTCTCTGTTCCAGAATAAGAAACGTGTGTTCCAGGAAGTCATCGGTAATATTGACACCATACAAGCACGTGAAACATTGTTTATAAAAAGTGAGCTTCCCATTTGTTATAATAATATTCCATCGGATGAATTGCTTAAATCTTTTGAGGTCCCATTACAATCTTCCTGCTCTGAAGAGTGCAATACAGATTTTGAAAAACAACTCCGTGCATCAACCAATTTAAGCACAAAACGTGAAATATACGAGACGCACTTCTCTAAAGATTTGAGGATGGAATTTTCTGAGCTACCTTGGCCGTCTAAGCAGGGCAAGAAGGAAGATAATGGTGAATGTTCACAGATCGTTGGGGCATTACAAAGCGAGCAACTCATTCAAAGAATACAGACTGATACCGAGACCTTGCAGGAGAGGTCTGCACATCAACTTGTGCCTGAACAGAAGACCACGAGTGCATTGCTAAATGAGTCTCAGCTCTCTGGAGCGGCCACCAATGAGCACAGTATTGTTCAATCCAGTAATGTGGCTTCAATGTCTGTTGATGGCAACTCAAACAATTGTGGAACAGACTACAAGTCGCATGATATTGTTCACTCTGATATTTCACTGAATGCAAAGTGTAGGAGAGGTCTGTCAGAAAACATGTTAGCAGAACAAGACGGTTCCGGCTCGGTTAGCAAAAATGAAAGTGCGTGTTTCGACGAAGCTGTGTTCCAGGGCTTCTACTCAAACTCTCGAAGGTCTCTGGGAGCATTACAACAGAACACAGTTTCTCACGGTAACCACAACAGACATGAGGTTGAAGTGGATGAAGAAGAAGAATATACTTATTCCCCTGTTCACCTCGGTTCAATTCATTCATCAATGCATGGAAGAGGTCATTCCCAAATGTTCAATGGAAGTTTGAAGGATCTGAGAAGCTGCTTACATTATAGGGCAGAGCTGTCCACTTCAAACTCACGCCTGCGTAGAAGCAAGTCTGTAAATATGAATAATTTATTACCGGCTGGTGAAAGTTCGTTTCGAAGGTTTAATGGAACCAAATCAAGTTCAATGCAGTCTGTTTTATCCGCACCAGAAACAATTTATTATTTTAGTAATAGACTGCCAATGTCGTCGAGTCGTTGCTGTTTAGATATGGAGTATGAAGCGATGCTGGATTTTGCTTATCCACTCCATGAAGATGGACGAACTAGGGAGGATACCGAGGAGTTGAATGACCTTTTGCATCAACTAAAAATCTATGAGAATAATAACCCTACATGTAACAAATTAACCAACCAACAATTGTCCACACCGTTATTAAAGGATGACCGAGCACAGGAGCACACATTTTGCACAGCTGCAGTTGCAGCCCACGACGTTACAAATCTCTTGTATGTTGGTGAAGATTTCAAAAGACCACCTCAAGGGGAAAGCCTGTCGCCGGATCACATCTCGGCATTTAAAGTTATGCCAGTGAGCTGCCGTGGGAAGAAGAGCAATAAAAAACGGACTGTTACAGAGACGGACGATTGGTATGGCTCTGATGAATTCCTCGCATTGCCCACTCAGCTAAAAGAGGCTGAGGCTGTTGCACAGCATCTGGAGAACTTGGTGGATATGTTAAACACAAGTTCATTGTACAGATCATCTCTGAGCATTGGCGACCTTGGAACAGCAAGAAGCATTGCTGAAGACATCTCTTCTATTAGAAGTCAGGATGCAAGTGGCCAGAGGCCACGCCACAAAGAGAAAGAGATGGGTCAAAGCAAACTGTCAGTTTCTCTTCCACATGAAAGGCCACTGAGTGTGTGTGACTCTGTGGAATTTGGCCCTCTTTGTGATATGTCTGATGGGATGTCACCTGTACAATTCTCAACCAGCAGTTGTCAAGAGGGTGGGTTCTGTGGATCTTTAAAAGAACACCAAAACCTGGGCAGTGAAAGTGCCCAGAGCGTCCAGCAAACCGGCTGGAAGCCACGTGACGCGAGTAGTCCAGTCAGCGAGGGGAGGCCCCCCACCCTGCAGAACTGTGGTCGCCACCATTCACAGCTGATCAAGGAGATACAAGATGACATTGAGCACCAGATCAACAACACAGCCATCTGGGAAAAAATCGAGGTATGGTAATAAAGTGAAGGTGCAACCCAGAAATTGTTCGTTCATGCCGCTGTTGGCAGAAGGTCTTCCACTAGAGGGAGCTCGAGAGAGCCCCTCTAATGGATATTGATTGGAGTAAATCTAAAAATGGCTGATTATGGTGGAGTTCTTATTCGGTGGTTGGCAACACTGCACCATGAACCCAGCGATCCCTGTTCAATTCCTGGTCGCAGCTAAAATTAGTGGCGAGGAAAGCTTCCCCCTTCACCAACCCACACTGATGATCAGCGTGCTGACATAAGATCACACAGCCACCATGACCAACAGCATGGCGATTCATCCAGCAGAAAGTATGTTATTTATTCAACATGAGATTTATTTTTCAAACAAGACGCATGGCCATTGATAAAAAGGCCGCCTGTTATTGTATTTGATAATTATAATTTTCAGACTATTTTCAATCCACTGCTGGCACCCCCATGCTTTGACATCATTTGAGCTCATGCTGGACAGTGACGTTTGGTAAAGTTTAGGCCACCAACTGGTTCATAGATCACTTGCCACTGATGTCAACCGTTGCCGGGAATTTAACCCACGACGCATGGCGCATTGTGCTAACCACTGTGCTCCACTTCATGTTGCATGAACCTTAATGGTCGCACGTACTTAATATGTAGATTTGAAGCTTTCGTGACTGCAAGGATCCATACTCTTTGGTTCTATTCGGTAAAGTCATGTAGGTAAAAAATAAAACAAATATTTTTTTATATTTTATTTTTTACCTACGTGACTTTACCGAATAGAACCAAAGAGTATGTACTTAATATGCTTTTCATTTTTTTTGCGAATTTTACACAGGAAATAAACCAATGTAATCTATATTCTTGGTTCTTTCGGTAAAGTCACGTAGAAAGGAAACTTTACCGAAAGAACCAAGACTATGAATCCCTGCAGTCACGAAAGCTTTAAATAAAAATTCTAAATAACGTTGCAAGAAATAAGCCAACTCCAGGAGGTAGTTTTGTTTTTGTTGATGTTTTGATAAAAAATATGTTAAAATAAGTTTTCTGTCATACATTTTTTGCTCGTATAATATTATTAGTGTATTCAACCATGTTTCACTCTGCTTAAAAATTGAGATCCAAAACGAGTGGAACCATCAGCATTACATAAGAAATCGCCGTACAAATAAAACAATTCCTATGATGCCAGTTTGTATTTTTGAGAGGGTGTGAGCTGACCTGAGATGGGGCAAGCACGTGTTCTCTGTTGGGCATTCAGGCATTTCCAATGCATGAGACTTACCTTTGTCTCCACTAGCAGTGCCGTTGGGTAAGGGGCAAGGTTGTGGGGGGGGGCAGTCAATCCACTTTTAACTTGAACCAAAAATAGTACAATTATACACCACTGTGTACACGGTCACCTTGCTTGGGTATAAGGTCACAGTGGTGGGAATGCACCAAAGGCACTGCCAAAGCTGGTCTGTAGTGTTATCATAATCTGTCATGATGTATCCACTGCTGGATGAAAACCTCCCTAAGCCATTGCTATCCCTCATGATCTCCAGGATAAATAAAGATTCTGATTCCGAGCTTACAATGCAAAAGTCCATCTGTATATATGTTGAACTTCTTTCACACTGTACGTAGCTAACAATGCTAATCGGAGGTGCAGGGGAAGGACAACAAACCACAACACAGCTCCTGCACACCAATTGCAAAATAACAATTAAATTCATGTTGACTCGTGATGCTTTTTTTTTCAATCTTGTTTAGATGTTTGTAAAGAAGCTTGATGTGCTGATTGACTGGCTGTATGATGCCATGGAGACAACCGAAAACTGGACACCCCCAAAGGCAGAAATAGACCACCTGAAGGTCTACCTGGAAACCCACCTGGTCAGTCTTAGTACCTAATTTACAATAATTGTAATTATATGTATACATCATTTACAGCTTTGTTAATCCACTGTTGGAAGAATGCCTCTCCATCCCATGTCAGCCATGAGGTTTGTTTGACCGTGCTTCACGATGCTGGCCGTTGTGGATTGGTGAAGGGCTGGTGCGAGGAACAACAGGGGACCTGTGGATGATGTTAGCCATGGCTGGGTATGGAATTCAGGCAGCCGGGTTCACAGTGCAGTGCGTAAACCGCTGGCCACTGCTGCTCCCCACCTTGGTTCCGAACTTTTTTAGTTTTATTATTGATGGATATCCCTGCTGGTGTTATTGGCCGTAAATATGCGCCCCATCCGCTTTACAGTGACCATTAAAGTTCCCCATGATGTAATTCGCCAAAGTAACGACTGTTGTGTGCCGGCGTCATGCTCCAAATGTGTAGAATGACCCTCGTTGGACACCTCCGGAGTAAGGGTCAGCAGACTTTGAGGTAGGGCTGAACGATTTGGGGAAGATATCTAATTGCGATTTTTCTGACAGATATTGCGATTTGATTTGCGATTCAATTTTTTAAAGTCAAGCTTCAGTTCAATAGTCACTGTGTAATAGATTTAAAACATGTGATGGAGCATTACCACGTGATACCATCAAAATATGAACTGCTCTATATATTGGAATGCAAGGATGAGAACATGTATTTATTAAAATGAAATAGAACAATCAAACATAGAACAATTGTAAAGTTAAATAAAGTTGTTCTTTGGGTCTTTCGGTAAAGTCACGTAGATAGGTTAAAAGATAATAACAAGGGTGACAAACGCTTGTCTTGCGAACGAAACGTAGTTTTTTATTTATTTTTCCTTTGAACCTATCTACGTGACTTTACCGAAAGACCCAAAGAATATGAATTACTGCAGTCACGAAAGCTTTAAGTCAAGATTAAAATAAAGTTATAATAACAAATAAAACAATTGCAATAAGAAAATAATAGGACTTTTCAGATCGCAAAAAATCGCAGGCTTTGCGATTTGACAATCGCATTGTTTCAAATTTCGATTTGAAATCGATTAATCGTTCAGCCCGACTCAGGCATTTCTGGGTTAACGACAATACATTATAATAAAATAACGTCTTTGTGCACTGCTGCCCTCTGCTGTTAGAGGTTACCGTCGGCAATTATAAATGTGGGTTGGCGGTACTCGACTCGCTCTTGAACGAACTAATCCGGCATCAGGTTAACTTCTCGATGTTATAACAAGTACGTTGATATAGATCCCCTCATTTAATTTTCAAACGTAGATAACTTAAATAAATTAAAGGTGGGTGGCAGACGGGTGTTTTATGTTGTCGTGTGTATTGTTTTGTGTTGGTTATGTGCCGCTGTTGAAATGGGCAAGTAGCATGAGGTTGTACATGCAATCATTGACCAAAAGGTGGCAACATTGTACCGCTCGAACACTTAGGTCCCAACTGCGTCGCTCTTGCAGTTGTGCCGAAGAGCTCTGCAGTGTGTTTTCTGGATGTACCGCGTGTTGTTTGCCTGGCACCATGGTCCGACGTTTCGCGCCATGTGTTGGGAGCCATCTCAGTCCTTGAAGAACCACGTGGATCGAATTGTCGGACACACCCGAACTACATGCAGTACAACCTGAAAACACTGGAGAGCTACCCTCTTCCTGGTTAAGAGGGTAGCTTATTTTAATTGTATTTTTTATTACTGAAAGAACCAAGAATAAGTCTACATTATCGACTGCCAGTACACGCACTCTGTTTAATAACCATTGCTACAGTCTACATTATAGACTGGCAGTACGCTCACCGAGGTTAAGAACCAGGCTACAGTCTACATTATAGACTGCCAGTACACTCCGATTAAGAACCAGGCTACAGTCTTCATTAATGTGTTTTTTTCCCATTTTTATTTATATTCACTTTATTTTTTATTACTATTTTTATATCTACGTGACTTTACCGAAAGAACCAAAGAATGTGTCTAAAGCCCTATTTAAGCCACATTTTTCCAATTTATATTTAAAAAAACTTCAACTTTACAAATTATGTTTCACGCATTATTTGATAAACCAATTGCAACTGACGACAGGCTAATCCAGTGCTGGAGAAACCTGCAGCCCGTAGCCCAAATAAGGCCTGCAACTTATTTAAATATACTCCGCGTCGACATCAGGCTTACTACAACTTCGAAGCAGCCTGCTAATGATTTTTATCAGTCACTCTAAGCATCCGAGCCGCACTAAGCGGGTAATAGAGGGGAATATGTTTGGCCTGGCAGCACTGTTTCTCATTTAGTGAGATGAAGGTGAGCCCTAATTATTTTTCATGTTTTTATTGAATAAGACTTAGCTGTGTATTAATGTGTTGCCCACCAAATATATTTTAAGGCTTGTTCAGCCATGTGCTAATCTCTAATAACGCACACTCAAATCAGATGTTGTTCGCTTGCAGTGCTTCAAACTTAACGTGGACAGTCATTGTACTTTAAAAGAGGAAGTCGTACAAGAAGGCAGAAGACTTTTGGAAATTCTTGTTTCTCAAAAATCTGGTGAGTGTCTTGTCCCATTGTAAATCATCATAGAACAGTCCGTTAACCGGTTGACCGCCGTTCATTTGCAGAATAATCTTGGAATCACACCAAATTAATATTGGTAATCTTAAGGCTGACATTTTTCAGCATCGGTTTATAATTATGGCTGGTGTGTTCAAAACAATAGCAATTAGGGTACTTAAATACAGTAATTTAAAAAAATCCGAATAGCACAGTGCTTACATATTTACAAAAATATACTTATGGCTTCAGTGTTGAAAAAGCAGTGCTTGAGCAACCTGGATGCTTTGAGTGACGAAACCGTTGCTGCATTGTTAATTCGTCTGCCTAATGACTTCCTTTCATGTTTCTGGCTTGCTCCTGATAAAGGCCCATCAGGCAACATGTTGGCAGACTTACAGGGCATTCTCTCATCATTGCTATAATTAGTTTTAACGCTGTGGAATATGCCATAAATATCTTATGATAAACAAAGACTTCACATAATTATTCAGCAAATAACAACAAAGTTATCTGTGGCACTGCATGGTAGTATTGGCTGTGCACGCTGGAAGTGTGTGACGCTCATTTTTTAATCCTGCGATTCGGAGGTGGGATTGGTGAATCGCACATCGCTCACAATGCGTGTGACACTCAACCTACGGGACTGAGGTGGCAAATAGCAGCACAGCAAGTAGGTTGCTGAACCATTGCTCAAATGTTTTGAGTGCTGTCCCGTCACACTTGCAAATTATCTTCTCCAGGCCCACCAGCTTGTCTTATCCATACTGTGTTTAACCACAATGCTGCAAGGTCAAGACTTTTCTCTTTTTAATTCTTCCTTTGTGCTGCTCGACTGTGGATTGCCCTCCGCTCGTCTTTTTTTCCCAGGTTCTTATAACCCTGCTCAATTTTGAAAATGCGTTAACTCTAATCTATGACACCTTAGATATCGCTGGTTGTTGCCGGCCGCTTGGCATTTTGGGCTTTTGGGCCTGTGCTCGGCAACCGTGATAACAAAAATAAAATTTTCCTGCCACGAGCAAAAGACACCCATTTAGGACTTGGCCAAACATCCCAAAATGCAGGAGAGACCGTCCTTTACAGTGAGCCATGAGTCTCACTTGTGAGGCATTTCTAGATGATGGGAGACACCGTCGTGAATAAGCTCGCGGCGGGCGGCTTGCATGTGCGGCACAGGTCTGAGGGACACGCTCGATCGCATCGAGAGCCAGTGGCAGCAGCTGCAGCAGCAAATCTGCCGTCAGCACGGCTGGGTGCAGCGCGCCCTCGCAATCATCAAGTGTGACGTCCTCACAGGCGCCGAGGCGCTGTCGGAACGCGGGGGCCTCGAGATCGTCGCTGCCGGTGCTTCGCAGGTAACCGCCACGGGAATGACCATCCCCCAACATCCCTATCACCCTGCACCCCCCACACCCCGCCTGCTCTCCCAGCCTCCCAGTGGACCAACGGGATGTAGTAGCAGCAGCTGCTGCTGCAGCAGCACGCGCGAGCTCATCTGCCCGAAAGGCGCGTCTTTTTTTTTTGACGGGCGCCGTGCATCGCGAGCGCGAGCTGCGATTCTTCCCTTTGTGTCGCACGCACGCACCTTGCCGCGTAGGACACTGCAAGAGCAATGAAAGGAATCAATCACGGCGTATCGGCGGACGTGGTGCCGTTGGAAAATTCTTTATTTATTTGCGCGCTCGTTTTTTATTTTGTAATTGATGCAATTTTAAACGTTGTGACACTCCCCAAAGGCGAGTGGCTGCATTCACTTGGTGTAATTCTTTTGAAAAACCGTCCGTGTCGAGGCATGGAACTATGCAGGTTACTTGACTCTTAATGTCAACGCCCTTTACTGTCATGCGCTTCTCAGATCCCAGCAGTGTGCCGTTTTGCTGTGGTCAAATTTGTTTTATGATAAGATAACAAAACGTGTACATTAGTCTACAACAAGTCTTTGGAATAAGTCCCGTATTCAGCACAAGGAATATGTTCGAAGATTAATATTGTGTGCAACTTCTGTTCTTGTTATCATTTTTAGCATTGTATGTTGTTAATAAAAAATAAACAAATATGAAGGATTTCTTTAATATAACACATTTTGTTAGTGTCAAAAGATGTAAAAAAAAATAAGCCGTAACCTAACATTGTTTGAAAAGATGCACAAGCATTAATGGCTGAGTTAATGTTATTAATATAAGTTATTGAACACAATTAAGTTCACCAAAAGATGTTTATCAATGACGTCCAGTAAGTCTGAACATTTGTTATTGTGTGCTCTTATGAGTTCAGTCCGTCACAAATGCGTGGTGATCACTCAAGAGGCTAGAGGATGGATCCTGAACACTACCTAGTGGGTGGAGACCCCAAAAACGGCGCTGGCCATATCGCAACAAGGTTTACCCACGGGTACAGCTTGGAGACGTGTTATATTTACCAATCATTATCAGCCGTGGTCAATCCACTGCTGGATAAATACCCTCGTCGTTGGCATTCGCAATGCTCCTACAATGCCACATTCCATCATCATGCCTATTGACGATGAGCTAGTATAATTGTTCCATGCTTCGAGTGGTTGAACTCTTGGGCATGTTCACTCGTTTTTCCACTATTACCTCCACATTTTCCATTGGCAAAGCAACGTGTCCTGCTCAAGCCCGCTTACATTACTTAATAGTCAATTTGATCTAATTGGTCACTGTGTTTTTATATGTATTAACTAGCTTCGCCCAAGACTTGGATTCTTGTCTTGGATTAATACACGGCCTACGCGAAGGGTGGGGGGGGGGGGATGCGTGACGTCAGCAGGCACACTGCGTCACGCTGCCGCATGCGGGTGACATCACAGATGTGACGTCACCACAAAATATATCCATTATTGCGCACCCCCCCCCCCAATGCAAAAGTCTATTTTTATACGTTTTTCATTGTGTACATTTTGGAAGCTACCCACATGCCAAATTTCAAGTTTGTTGCATGTTGGGAAGTATACTAAACATTTCGAACAGACACATTTACAAATTTCCCTTTTATATTTGTGTGATTCCCACTATGCCGCTCTCCATGATTCTTTGAGCAGTTTTTTCCCCATGTTGTTCTCAGTTGGTCCATGTGTGTGATCCACATGTCAAATAAAGCAATATACACTGATGGAAAATAGTATTTTTTTGCCATATTGATATGTTGATTTTCATTATCATTTTTTTCTAAAACACTCCGTCGTGTGCTCGCTCACCTCTATTTTCATGATTTTCATCCTGAGCCGCCAAAATTCATAATTTCCCTAGATGTACATACTCTTGTTACATTTTCCTGTAATGTCCGTCCAGTGATTATTTTTGTCCAAAATACTTTATGTAAATGTCTTTTGTATTTGCTCGTCTTCAGCCGTATTTTTCAGCCTTCTTTGTTCCACATGAAACGATGAGTCACTCGCCCCAATTGAAATGTACAAAGTCTCGAAATTACCCAGCTGTGCTTCATTCTTAATAGCAACAGTCATTGTAAACCTTTCCTAAAAATACCCTGCGCATTATATAAAGAGCTCGTTTCACTGTATATTCTATTTATTTAAATGTTAGAGCTTGGTATGTGTTTCGTGGCATTTGTTGGCATGCACAAATACAATAAATAACACATATATGCTCTGGCTCAACAGGCAAACATAAACCGGTAGCTCGTGATGCAAGTTTCTAAACTGCATCGCTGTTTGCACCATGTATCTTCACGTCCCATTAATCCTCACAACTGAAGGTGAATGTGCATATTGTGATCATTCTTGTATGATATCCAGCTGCCTGTATCATACATTTCGGTAATTCAGTTTTATACCTTAAAATTTGATGATATTGGGGCTACTGAAGTTAACTATCTGAATCATGTCCAGATGCTTTTTTGTACATATTTAAATTTAGCATATTGATACGGCTTAGTTGTATTTGCTTTGTTGAAATTTTCTTATCGGATAATTGACGGGGAAGAATGCAGATGTATCAATAATATTTTTGTTAGCTATATTTAATGTGGACAAAGAGATTTTAACAGATTTTACATTTCATTAATTCGTCAAATCAGCAAAAAAAAACACTCAGTATTTTTGGCAGATTTATCCTGAGTATGTGAATGTTCAAAAGTCGAAGTGATTTCCTGCTCAAAGGAGTATTAGAGCAGTGCTTTTTTCCTGTTTACGTCCCTGAGCCAGTTGTGGAAATTCAACAGTCATATGGTGGGGGCAAGTCTATCCCTAGGACAAACGCTGTTGACTTCCTCACAAAGTGGTACTCGTTCAAAACCAAATTGCACGGCAATCCCTTTGCCTACACGTGGGTGCAGTGACACATGCCGAGTACCACATTGAAAGCTCTTTATGCCACTTGACCGGTGCAGCAGAATTTAGCGTCAATGTTTTCGCAAACTTAATGGCGAGAAATCTATTGCGATTGTGAATCCAGATGTGATTGCCGCGGGGAAGTCCTTTGCTCTCTGAAATCGGAGCCGGACCATGAATTGTTGAAGATGCAGCGGTTCTCTGAATCCCTCTGGTCTCTTAAGTGCGAAGCTCCACCAGATGAAAATGGATTATGTGACTGTTATAATGCACAAAGTATATGATTGTGGGAATTGTATAGAACTGAACAATTTACTACTCCAACTCATTTACTTGGAGAACTTTTATTTATTCTTCTTTTGTAATCTCTTGCTTGAAGGCTCTTGAAAACATAGTCAGAGCTGCATTTGTGGGTCATCTTAATACAATTTAACTCTTTAGCTTTTCCTCTCAATTATATTCCAAATGTGGCGTCGACATCCAGGGCACGATGCTAGGAAATTTCTGTGTGAAACTTTCATAGCGAGCAGTGCACCACGTGGCATAGGAGGATGACCCTGGAAGGTGACATCACGTAATAACTTCAAAAGTCTCCTGAGCAATAATCTTCAACGGCACAGGAGGCGTACTTATTATATGGCTTGCAAACGGTGTTCGACTTGTAGCAAGCTGATTTTTATGTTCTCAGAGTTGGTCCGCCAAATTAAGTGAAGCATTTTTTTCTCTAATTATATTCCAGTTGTCATTAGTATCCATTCGGAATCCTTGCAGAGCAGTGCATAACTTGAGTTATAGAATGACCCACAGAAGGGAGTATTGTAGAATTAACACCTGTTTTGTTGCCAGAAAAAAGGGAAAAACCTATTATCATTTTGGTACTGGCAAAGGAGGTCCAATGATGTAGCTGCTCACCCGAGCTCTCATTACTCTGATAGTGACATTGTCTCTGTGCTGTGTACTCTGATAGTGACATTGTCTTTGTGCGGTGTACTCTGATAGTGACAGTGTCTCTGTGCTGTGTACTCTGATAGTGACATTGTCTCTGTGCTGTGTACTCTGATAGTGACATTGTCTTTGTGCGGTGTACTCTGATAGTGACATTGTCTTTGTGCTGTGTACTCTGATAGTGACATTGTCTTTGTGCTGTGTACTCTGATAGTGACATTGTCTTTGTGCTGTGTATTCTGATAGTGACATTGTCTTTGTGCTGTGTACTCTGATAGTGACATTGTCTTTGTGATGTGTACTCTGATAGTGACAGTCTTTGTGCTATGTGCTCTGATAGTGACATTGTCTTTGTGCTGTGTACTCTGATAGTGGCATTGTCTCTGTGCTGTGTACTCTGATAGTGACATTGTCTTTGTGCTGTGTACTCTGATAGTGCCATTGTCTTTGTGCTGTGTACTCTGATAGTGGCATTGTCTTTGTGCTGTGTACTCTGATAGTGACATTGTCTTTGTGCTGTGTACTCTGATAGTGACATTGTCTTTGTGCTGTGTACTCTGATAGTGACATTGTCTTTGTGCTGTGTACTGTGATAGTGACAATGTCTTTGTGCTATGTACTCTGATAGTGACATTGTCTTTGTGTGGTGTACTCTGATAGTGACATTGTCTTTGTGCTGTGTACTCTGATAGTGACATTGTCTTTGTGCTGTGTACTCTGATAGTGACATTGTCTTTGTGCTGTGTACTCTGATAGTGACATTGTCTTTGTGCTGTGTACTCTGATAGTGACATTGTCTTTGTGCTGTGTACTCTGATAGTGACATTGTCTTTGTGCTGTGTACTCTGATAGTGACATTGTCTTTGTGTGGTGTACTCTGATAGTGACATTGTCTTTGTGCTGTGTACGCCTTTTGGCGTCCTCTGGTCTAACACCGTTTTGAGACTAGGCTCAAAAGAAAGCTGTCTCTGGTGTGGACCAATCAGTTTCAAAGACTGCATATATTAGAGTATTTTTTTGTTTGCGTCCTGACCACAAGTATTGTGGTTAATGCAGACATGATTTCTTTTAAAAGTTTTTAGTTTGATGTTTTAACATCTTAACACCTGTTTTGTTGTCAGAAAAAAGGGGAAAACCAATTCTCATATTGTAGAACTACTTCTGATATCTTATTTTCACACGAAAGGCGATGCACAGGGAAATGTCGTGTGGCAATCAAACTGATATATATATATATTTTAATTGTCATAATGTTGCCAATAATGATGAAAAACTAATTGTTGTGCGGTTATTGGTGAATCCTGAAACTATCAAGTCACTACACTTGAGAACTCGGTTTAATCACAAGGTGGCACCTGGATTTGAACACAGGCGAATGAGTGACCTGGCCAACCTCGATGAAAAACCATATTCGACATGTTTGTTTTATGTGTGCATGTGTAGTGACTTGCTGGGACTCGGAGACGATGTAGAGACGACACCGTTTATTAACCCTTAAACCCCCGTTACAGCTTAGCACCACAAGAGGTAACGGCCTCTCCACCCGTTGCTCTCAGGGGAGGTATTCCCCAGCTAAACTTCGCCTACTCCCTAGCTATACCTCGGCCCTCTTCTAAGGGAGGCTAGCTGACCTGGCCCAGCCAAGGCGCAGGTCTTGACCACCAGCCACACGGACCCGGCCCTTAGAAGGACGTCGGGCTCCGAGGCTCTGGGGTCGTACCACTGGCTTGCTCTGCCCGGCCCTTACAAGGGCAGCGGGTCAGAGGAGTCCCAGGGTGTCAAGCTAGCTGGACTTCGATCTTTAACTGGTTCTTCTGGCTTCGGCTTGTTGAAGGTCCCGTCTCTCTCAGGTCCCCGTCTTTTATCTTAATTCCCTACCGAGGGGCGGGGGTCTGTGGTATCCTAGTACACTCCTCAGCCCCCACGCGTTGGGAGGGACGCGGGGGATCTAAACATCCCCCAGCCCCCTCCCCCCGGGAGGTGCCGGCTAGGGATATGACGATCACCCCTTACGTCTCAATAGCACCGTTACACATGCATTCATTGGTCACCAGGATGAGACCATCAACTCGCTATATTTGAGAATGCGGTTCAACCGTGAGTGGCTTCCTGGATTTAAACATCGGATCTAACCAGTGCGGAATCATTGCTCTGCCAGGAGATTCGCTGCCTGAGCCGCAGCCACCTCTATGTTTTTGAGGTAGACTTTTGGTTACATAAAATGGGGAATGTGATATTAAAATAATCAAATACTGCATATATATAATACAATTTGTATGTATAAGGTCTCTAAATATGAGTGGATTGCAAGACTTGTCATAATAATTGCTTAACTTAGGATATGCCAACTGAAGCTTTTTTTTCCGTTCTGTGGCCAACTTTTCTTTACCTGGATAACATCGGCAATATTACCTTTGGGGAAAAATCAGTGTGAAGTGTTCCATATTGGGTATCTGAAAACTAATCGCATATTCTGTCAAAACAGGTTAAATCAAGAAAAGTATAACTGCTGCTCACTGGCCTTTTGCCAAAGCGATGTTGTCTGGCACAAAGTGCGATAGAAAAAAATGCACACACACACACTTGCAACTTAAGATTTGGACAAAACATATCTAATCTGTCATAATTTAATCTCGTACCCGCGTCTTGGACGTTGATGCTTGAAAGGGTTAAATCTACCCTTGTGTTCCCACCTAATGCTCGTGTACTGTAACCTTGAAACCGGAAAATCGTTACAGGCTGTTTATTTTCAGGCTGCAGTGCATGCGGTTTATTAGTAGCCATTACCCAAGAGTGCCGTTCTGACCGTCAGCAAAACTAATTACTGTGGCAGATGTTAGCTTTTCATTACAGCATTAATTATTTTTAATCTCCAACAAGCTCAAAGTAGTGCTTTCTGTCATGTAGAATCCACGTTTTGGTTATTTGTACATAAAACGGCACATGTCACATTGATTTCAGCGTACGACTGGAAGCTTCCGATATGCAAAGCAATGCAATTGCTCATATGGCGAGCGGGTGTGCATATTCTCAAGATGCCGATAAAAGCTCAGCGCGAAAACATTAAAGGCAGTGTCGTGGCATTCTATTATTTACAAGTAACAATACTTTCACCCGGCAAACAGTAACTTTAAGGCTTAAATTTAAACAAAAAAAGTTGCAAGCAGATGCCAGCCAGGAAGCTAATGGCATGATTTATGTAATTACTTTGTCATTTAATATTGTACTTTCAGGCATACAGCAAAATATTACCACATTTAAACACAAACTCCACATGCACAATGCTAATGTTGCCCCCTTTTCATGTCTTAGGATTGAACAGAGAATTGGGATTGGTTTGAAAACCTAATCAGGCTGTAATATTCCTGAGAAACATAAATCACACGTCACATTAGGATCTGAAAATGGTATTTGAGAGTTGTTTTTGAAATGTACGTTATAAATCGATATTAATTCATACAAGGGTGGCTTTAGGTGATTGAATGATTGGACAAATTGCTCATAGGTGATTGTCTGATTAAGATAAATACTCAATGTAGACAAATAGCCATTACTAATCTGCGTTTCTTCAATTAACATGATATATTGTGAGACACGGAACTATGAGCAGTGTAACCAACCTGCGCTCGGTGATCAGCAGTGTTAATACAATTGAAAAGCAGACTTGCGATCCCAGTTGGTCAATAAACTTGGAAAAATGCGTTGACGATCCCGTCAGTGTTTGTCCTTCTGATATAAAATGACTCCCGGGAAAAATATATCAAAGAGAGTTTGCACATGTACCTTGGAGGCATAACTTATGCCATGTTTCTCTTTCATGCGGTGTGGAGTTGATCGGCAATGTTTATGTTTTCACGTCGAGGCTGGTGAGTGGTGAACCAGCGGTTATCGCTTTAGGGGTAGTCTGGTGAATATCTGAATCGCTGCCTGCAAACGATCGAAGGGGCAGTACCATATTATATGGTTTGGAATTGCTGACCGCAGTTGCACGGTGTGGGATATTCTTAAATTTCCTTTGGTGCAGGAGATCGTCGGATCTGCCGTGAAATGTTCTGATGTGATTCAATACTGGCAGAAAACGTGATAAAAACATCATCCCCATGTTATACCAGCATAACAATAGAGATAACACGAAACATCTACAAAAGTGTTCATGTTGCATTCATTGACAATCATGATCATTAACAAAGTCGTGTCTCTCTCCCACCTGCTGTCACCAGGTTGGATTTCTAAGCGAATGACGCCATTCTTTGACCAGAAGAAACTAATTATTGATCAAGACGCTGATACCAACGCATGCCCTGTTTACAACACATGGCAAGAAAAAAAAGCAATTATGTCCCAGTAGAGATGAAACATGTAGTGAGAGATGATTTAATCAGATTATGAAAAAAGCCTGCTTTCATGGATATAAATATTAAAGAGCTGCTTCTGTACCTTGCGTAAGTTAAATCATTTGATACATTGCCGGATCGCCACTTTGATGTAAGACAGAGTTCATTTAAAGGTATTGCATATTAAACTGGAAAACTGCATGATCGTTTGAAGTGCTCTGTAATTAATGTTTGCCATTGATGTTAGAGTTCTGTTGATTTATCCACTGGAGCCTGGAAGATTGTCCCTACATGATACTGGCTGTAAACAATTTAATTTGCGCCACCTTAATTACAGTTTATATTAAAGTTAATTGCATAAATTAATTGAACCGCAAGTAAATGCTTGCTTTGAGCAGTGATCTTGACTTGATTACATTTTAATTATCCTGATTTTACAGCACTACACTTGCTGAAAAAAATATCCTCTTGTCATCCTGCATGCGTTTTTTTAATAGTAAATGCAAGTTATTTTTTTAAAGCTGGAACTTTTTATATTCGCGATGATACAAAGATGTAAAAATAAAGTTCCGGTTTAAAAAAAAATCCATTTGAACTTTTTCTAACGTGCACACATATCGCTGTTGACATTTGAAAAAGCTAAAGTTTTTTTATGGCGGAGCAGACGTCTACCGGCGAAGCCTAAATCGCCCTCAAAAGCCATTACACTCACAGTAGTCTGTACAAGACAACTGCGTCACAGTGCACTGGGTCTCATTCTGGCTCCACGTGAGTGGGAGAGTTCCCACTGTCAAGCAGTGAACGGACAACCAACCGCCAGTCAACAACCCGAAGCTGTGTGGCTACAACGCACAGCAGAAAGTGAGCATTTGGGGGAATTTTGGCTTTTTAATTTGTTCTAGATTTGAAGCTTTCGTTACTGCAAGGGTTCATACTTTTTTTTCGGTAAAGTCACGTAGGTAAATTAAAATAAAAGAGAACAATTTGTATCTGTATATTATATTGTTCGATTGTTGTTGTTAGTCTCCCATATTTCGCAAGAACACAAAAATACGTGCGGGGCATTTAAATACAGCAATTGTGCAAATGAATTGGCGAACGTTATTATGTATGGATGAAGAAAGCTATTTGCACGAAAACAGTGAATGCAATGGTTGTGCCTGTATACAATTGTTGTTAAGTGTGGCTATACATTCCCCCCAGACAGATGAAGGTGATTTTTAAGAAGCATCATCGGATGCTATGTTTCCATTGCGGTATTGAATGAGCTGTTGTGTGCATTAAATATGATGCAAAAGTTATTAGACGAAAGTAATGGGTCACACAGGCACTTATTATGCACAATAAACTTGTTTCTAATTGGTTTGTATTTGGTTGTCGATCAACTTTCGAAAAAATATTTAAGAGATTCGCACAACAGCAAAATTAATGTGCATTACTCCTGTTTACATTGTGCCTGCTGCACGCTTTTTTTTAACTGGATAAATGATGCGTCAAACAATTGCAATGGAAATATAACCCGATACCACGGTTGTGTTTTTTTGTTGTAAAATTAAACTTGTGTACATAGAGATTAAACATTTTTACATATATTTACAAATGTGTGACATGTAAGCAAATTACTTATTTTCAGATAGATAAAATCAAATAACGTGTTAAATACTTATAAAGTAAGTTTTGTATACAACAAATAGTATTACATCTTCAGGAATATTTTAGCAAGCTTGCATACAGATTAAACATGTTTGCTTAATTATTTAATTCAGATAAAATATATTGGGTAGAATTTGATGAAGATAAGGGTTATAGACCAAGAAGAATTTCGGGGTTGGTTTGCATTTTAAATGATTAGATTTTTCTTTTTTAGTACAGACTTTATCCAGAGTAATTGCACATGCCAATATATATTATTAATGTTACTAATTTAACATTGATATGTTCTGCAAATTGTGTGCACGCTCTGCGTAATGTGCACAAATGTTCACAAATGTTCACTTCAGACATTGTGTTTATAGCATCCGATATATTTGAGTATTTTTAAGAATCTTTAAAGTTTGGCTGATATATAATCATCTTTCACTGATGGGCATTTTTTTCTCTTCACATAGCATCATATCTTTCAGTATACAACATGTTAAACTGCAAATATTGTGTAAAACCAATGTTTTTATTGCCATTATTAAAGTACCTTGCATAGGTCAATCTGAAGTGAAGGTCAAATGCTTACATGAAGGATGGAGCAAAATCAATGTGCTTCTTTAGCCTACCAACTTTGTTAGTATGCAGGTCACTTCTGCATAGCCTTCAAGCATGTTTGCACAAAAAGCTACACATAAAGGGCAAGCAACCAGCATTTGAATGCATTAACCGAACGTTTGCGCTAATTAAATGCATTCGGGTAGCAACCATATCAATAATTCAATGCGCGTGACCTAATCATTGCAAAATTATTTATTTGTTTCCCAAGCCAAGCTTCGTAATATAAAAAAAGGTTTTGGGGAAAAAAACAGTACAATGATTAATTCGTCATTGAGTGCAGTCCAGGGCTATGAATAGCATATTAATATTCCATGCTGTTAGTCTAGACTTGATTCCCACCGTGTTCATTGCTTGTATTAGCTACAGCTGCGTAGTATAAAGCAGACGAGAAGCCGATCACTTTGCTGCACAATTGGACATTGAAAAGGTATGCTCAAAGTAGTATTTCACTTTTATGGCATGTACTCTGAACACGCATACAGTTCTCATAAATATGATATTCCACAGTGTATTTCAATCGATTAACTTTAATGCTATTCTGATAGTGAACAAGCTATTTACTCTGGAAAGAGATGGACAACATATGTAGGCAGCTGTTGCTGGTGTTTATTCAAGCACTACTAATTTTCCAGCAGCAGAGGGCACAGCAAGAATAGGTTGGGATATGCAAAGAAAAAAGGGCCCACATTAAAATTCTGTGGAAAAAGAATTATTGATTGGCTGAAACCAATTAACAGCTGTGTAAGGGCTTACTTTTCAAGGTTAATTCAGATGTTTAGACCATCAATTAATGCAAAGCAAGTGGAATCGATATGTTTAGGGCACAATATTGTTTCAGCCGGAGTCGTGGATGAATTGATCGACTTTTCTTTCTTTGAAAGGCACTGATACAATATAGCGTATTGCATCAATAGAGAAGATCACTGGGTGATTGCCAGAAAGCGAGCGAGCAGTTCTGACAGCCTAATTAGAAGCGCACACAAATGGTCTTAATTCACTTTTTGGTTTACCGCCTCAATTGTGTGCCTCCACCGAAGAGACATTCCCGCTTTATAATCCAGCGGCTTGTACCTTAAGAGAAACGGACAAACGACATTGGTCTTTTCACCTAAAAAAAGCTTGGAGCTGGTAATCAAAACGTTAAAATAATGAGCGGTGACGGGTGTTTGTGTCTGTGTGTGTTGTACCAAGGTGTCTTTACTCACCACGTGGTTCTTAAGAATGCAGTGGAATGCAGAAACCTCAGATGAATTGTATCAAATTTTTTGCCTTCAAATTAAATGCCATCTAATAAAAGCTTTTCCCATCATTCCCTTTCAAGAATAGTAATGCCAGTAACATCGGTGTAATGGAGTATTATTTGAGACCAAGCACATTTTTGTACTTTTGTGTCAAACTATCTTATTTTATATTAATTAAAGGGCCTGTTGTGTATTGTATGTTATTGAAGAAATTGTATTAACTTGCTTTTGCTGTAATTTGTGTTCGAAAATTTTTTGCCGAAAAACTACCTACTGGAATTGTAAAAACGGAAACGTCAAAATAACAACTGTGTGTAATTGTTTTTAATACCATTAAATATTGAAACCTATTAACATTTCGTCGTGTTCTGTTTTATAGCTACGGTACAACAATGGACACTTAAAGCTTGATAGCCTGAAATATAGAATTGATAGCCTGATCACTTAATATATATTTCTCGGGATTTGGAAGAAGGTGGGGGGGGGGATTAATTTCAAGTGTTATCCATACATTATCACAGATTTAAACAGTAAAAACACTGGGCGACATGCAAGGAGGATAAACCTTCACGCGAATTCCGGCCATCCTCGCAGCGGCTTTTGGCTATGCCACTGAACAAAGACGGCCACTGCATTGCGCCCTTTCGGATGCGCTTCTGCGGCCGTCTGGAACGTTCTTCTGATATTAGGAATCCACTGGAGCTATGCACTTTCAAATAATGTAGATTGAGCATATTTCTTTAGACTTTTGTGTGTGTTTTAGTCGTCCTTCCCCGACACCTCAAATTAACACGGGTGACTAAGTACGGTGCGAAAAGTTCTACATGCATAAACTGCACAGAATGCATATTTTAAATCATATTGGCATATTTGCAGCATGTTTGCGCATGGCCAGTGATGTTCCTACGATATGTATTGCCCCTCTCTGTTCAGAGCTCGCGTGGCAAGGGAGGAACTCGCTTCAGAAATGAGTCGGTCCGTGTGTGTGGAAACAGCCGAGATGATGTGACCACAGATGGACTTACAATCCCCGGCAAGAACAGGTACATTCATGTTTGTATGTATGTTGAACTTCTTTCACACTGTACGTAGCAAACCGTGACAATTGATGGTGTGGGGGGAGGACAAAAAATAAACAAGGAACCTAGGGAAAAGTAAGCTGTGTTGTAACGTTTTGTACTCAAATGGTGGCAGCTTGCAACATCGGTTTTGTTGCGCGAGAGTTCGGTTCGGCATTACTAATAATATAAAACTTGTTTCGGCGGGATATTTAATATCACTGGCTAACAAATTATATCTGGCTTTTTTTTGCATACGGCATAAAAGTTTCACTTTTATTAAATTAGCTGTTCACGTTCCTTGCGTGCATTTTTGTTGTGACGGCGACTGCGAGTGCAGCAATGAGTGGTGAGGGGAGAGGGAAGTTTTCCACGTAAAACCCTGCAAGGGAAATAAAAAAAAACATCCCCGTTTCTACTTAATGAAGAGTAATTTGATATGTCAGGTGTCCTTGGGGAAATCTTTATTATGCGGTTAGACTCGCGTAGATTAAAGAATCGGGCCAGAAACAGACGGATCTGTCAGACCACTCGCCCACAAAGATTGTCTCTGCATGAGTTCCTGCAACTTTCCTACAAATAGTAAACACCCCAAGAAAATCTGAAATCTGCATCATAAATAAATTCTAAGTCATCCTGCTATATTTGTAGGGCAGTTTCTTTCTAAGGAAAGAAGCTGCCCTCACATTCTTCTCTGCAGAAATAGAAGTTACGTTATAATTTGTGTACTTGGTATGGATTCAAAGGCGGCTTAGATCTGCTCTTTGACAACAACAACAAAAATCTGCATTCTAAATTTACTTGTCATCTCAGCAAGAACATGTAACCTCCATGAATAATTTAATTATGAATCAATACAAAAAATCATTGCAGTCTCTTGGCTCGCCTTTGCACAACTTGCGTGTTTGCCTAGCGCTGTTTGTTGACGCGGTAAGCGGCTGCGTTTGTTTGACGCGCGCGTGCGTGCCGCGTGCGTGCGTGCCGCGTGCGTGCCACGTGCGTGCGTGCCACGTGCGTGCCGCGCCCGGCTTCGCCTCGTCCCTTGCGTCCAGACCGACACGTCCCGGCCGAGATTACGGGGGTCGCGCCGATCGGTGGGGCTGGGAGACGGAGCTGCCACTGTGTAGCCCGCCCCTTCTTGAACACCTTTGTCATGTGAGCGCTTCGGGAAACAGCGCACGCTTTTTTTTAGGTGGGTCGGAAGTGTTGGTGGGGGTGGACGGAGTTTTACTTTAATATATGTTTTGCCTTTGGTGTGCTGTTGAGTCACGCCCTTCCAATATGCATTCGGCCACTGGCCAGAGGGCACAATCACTTACTACTGGAGTCTTCCGCCGTACATTTGTTACATTGTACAATTGGCAGATCTGATGTGTGATAACATTGCCCCCCCCCAAAAAAAAGTTAAAAGGCAATTAACCTAACAAATGGTTAAATAAAAAAAAATCCGTATCAGGCGTACATTTCCCCCAATTTTTGTTTTAACACGCCTTCAGAATCGTCGATGTGTACAAACAGTGTTCATACATCGCGAGGCACATCTATTCCTGCTAACCTTTACGAATGCAAAACATTCACAGTTAAGCCTGAGATCAGTGATCTTTATGAGCAGGGTTTGCAATTAGCAAACATAGCTCCACTCCCCAAGGCCTAATTGGTACATTCAGTGTGAAGCAAAATGGTAATAAAGCGCCGTATGCGGGCATGCCTGGCGATGTATGTTTTGCTAAAGAGAGGTTAAAATCATGTTATCTGCATCTTAGAACACCGCCGAGGATTTACTCGGGCGCACCCTTGCTCATCCTGGGATCGCCCGCCAAATTCAATCTTTCGGCTGTACCCCGCTTTATGTTTAGCACTGAATCAAAGATACGGCTTCATTAGGAAATGGGAATGGCGAGGCGTGGGATTAATTATGAATGGCGGAGGAGGTTCGAGGGGAGCCGGAGGTGGGGTTCCCGCGACAGCCTCCTTGGCTGGGTGTTCACCGTGACATTGTCCCTCCTAGCGCACTTGGCTTCATCGTTCCCGCTCCCCCTCGCTCCCCACACTTGCACTCTCTCTTTCTTTTGATGAGATCTGCCGTAAAACGGAGCATGAGTGATGGCTCATGGCACCCACCGTGGTTGCGATCTATAAAATCTGTCTCCTGACTTTTATAATCCGGTCTAAGTGGGTCAGGGTTAGCGAAGAAAGGGTCGCTCACTAAAAAAAAATCAGTTTCAAGCGCGAGGGATTTCTCAGATCTGCACGTCCTCACCTTGCGCGGGTTCTAGAGCCCCACGTGTCGCCCGTAAATGGACCGGATTCGGACGCATGGTCTGAAAAAGTCTGACCACCACGAGAACTCCTACGACTGCCACGCGCGTGGCGGTAAAACGCGACTCTTATTTTACGTCGTCATAACCGGCGGCCCCGTGTTTTTTGTTGAAGCAGGTTAAATGAGGAGAAAAAAAAGTCGACATAACCAAGTTATTTACAGCCGGTCCTCTATATCTGTAAAATGTCCCCTGCAGCTGTCAAAAAAAACATTGCCAATGGTAAATTTTGTTGACTTTTAAAACAACCACTGGTGTGTGTGTATATATGTAAGAGCATATGCTGTTGCATATAATAAAGATGTTTTGCTAGGACTATCTGTAAACTCTTATGAGATTAATTCATTCGTTTTCTTAATATTTTTTGTGATGTGATATACGCGTGTGTGTACATAAATAGGCGTTTCGTGTACGGCGCTGGTGCGTTGAATCGCGTTTAATATTGCAATTCCATCATTGTTACAAACTAACAGGCCATCTGGGCATGTAGGCCGTGTTCCATTAACCACTTTAATATTAACCGTTTGTTATGTATATGCTTTTCCATCACATCACTTATGAACTATTGTGTTTCAATAACAAGGCATTTTTGTTTTAATTAGGTTAGACCTTTGGCAAGCCAGCACAGTTAATAATAGACTGGTACATTTGTTAGCATTTTTCTAATCCCAAAGTGCTTTATTATTCCAGCCTTTGCATAAGTCAGTGGGTTTTTTTAAAGTAAATAAATAGCTTTAAGCGTATTTTTTCCATAACAAGAACCGCACCAGCTGGGAGTTTGGCTACTATTTATTGCCTTTTTATTGGGGAAAAAGTAATTTGCGTCAGTGTTTGAGAAATTTCCCACTGTAATAGATGAGGATGAAGTAAGGATTAGATGAGGATATGTAAATACCAAATGATCTTTTCACGCAATGTGCAGGCTGAGCTTCAGGACGAGATGTTTAAAAAAAATATCTCATATAAGTTTAATCTCAACAATTTGCATTCTCAAGCCATCCGTGTTATCACACGCAAGGTCAGTTTACAACCCAAACGCAGACTGGATTAATATAGTTTAAAAATCACAGTCCCCTTTCAATATAAGTTTCGAATGTTATAATCATGTGTGCAGCTGGCCAGAGCTTACGATTATTATTAATACGTCGGGGGTCATAAAATCTGTAAAGAGCTCCCCCCCCCGCCCCCATGCAACGCTGCATTTTTTCAGCACGCAACGAACTGACTTATTCGAGCGGTTCTGCAAAAAAAGTAGCAATTATGAATGGATAAACGAAGTGTTTTGGTTACGGCCTCGAAAGAGAATAGCAGGACACACATTGCGTGACAGCATGCCGCGTCTTCGTGCTGCGTTATCAGGAGCCAAAAGCTCGCGTAATTTTCTATTCTGCTTACAGGCACCCCCCTGGGCAGCCTGTGAATCGACGGCAAACACTGCGCCCATTGTCTTGTCGGTCATCCGAGCCAGCCTGCTTTGAGGTCCAACGGGTCTGTGCTGTGCCAGCATGGCTGCCCAGATCAGCAGGTTAAAATGTGTCTCACGCTTAAAAAAATTAAACCAATGAATAAAAAAAACTGAACGACTTACGAAAATAAATGGCTTGGTTGGGGAACGGTGGCGAATTTTAGGTCGGTGAGCGACGCGAGTTGCGAATTAAATTGAAGAAAAAATGTTTTGGTGACCCTGTTAGTCTTGTGGACTATTTGTGAACTATTAATTTGTTTTTGAACAAGTTGACTGTGACAGCTGCGGATATTATGAAACGGATGGATATTGTTTCATTACGGTGTTTATAAAAGAGCGTTTATGCTTGGAACATGTTTCATTCCTTCTTTTTCAAGTATTGAATCAGAAAAGATTATCAAAACTCACATTCAAATGAATCAATCAATCCGTCACTTTTGGACTGAATAAAGAATACATTTATCGGTTTTTCTCACAGCCTCTGGCCTCTAACTTGCATTTTATTTCATA